GGTACCCCTCTTTAACTCCTTTTCAAGGTCAAGCTTGTGAGCTCTGATTCTGAATTCAGATGAAGAAATCTAAGTATTCTCTGACCCACCAGATGATGTCTGAGAGCCAAAGGATTGCTTTCTCACTCTCAGTAAAGATGAACTAAAAGCAACAGCAGAGAACAGCACCAATATAAACTTCTCAAACATACAAAGTTTTTTTTTTAACTGGAAAATTTTCAAAATCTGGAAGAATAAAAAGAACAAAAAAGAGTTTTTGGGGAGAAAATTCCTTAACCAAGTAAGTTTCTCTCCATAGCAGCCATTCCGCCTCACTTCATATACCATAAGTTAGGAAAGGGAGCACCAAGTCCAAGAGGTCACAAGGAAGCTATTAGAGAGCAGAAGGCTTCCTTCAGAAAACTGATGTCTTGCCCAAATGAGGAAAACCATCAGAAGCTCAAGGGAGATACAAGCAGATAATAAGAGATGCAGAAAAGGTTTTGGGCAGCATATTGCTAACAACGTAAGGACCAGCGATAAATAATTATTAAATGTATCCTAAAGAAAGAAGCCAACTAAGATGGTAGTCAGATCATTGGATGAAGATGGAATTAAAGGAATAATAAAGCAGAGAAGGAGATTGCCAAGAAACGGGATGAATTCCTTCCATTTGTCGTCACAGCAAAGGGTACAGGACAGAACCCTGTTCTTGAACTTAGGCATTCAGGAAGGGAGTGTGAGGAATTAAAACAAATAGTGAGGGCAAGAGATGAAATTCTTGACATTATTGACAAACTGCAAATTAATAAATCACCAGATCCAGATGGTACTCCTCCCAGTGTTCTTAATTAGCTGAAATATGGAATTGCTGACTTTCTTAAGAAAATATGTACCATGTCCCAGAGATCAGCCTCTGTACCAAAGAAATGGAGAATGGCCAGTATAACATCAATTTTTAAAAGGAATCTGGAGAGATCCAGGAAATTACAGGCTGGTTAGCTTAACGTTCTGGGTAAATTGCTTGAAAGCATTACTAACGATAGAATGGACAAGCCCTACTGAAAAAGAATCAACATGACTTCTATAAAGGCAAGTCCCGTCTATTTGAGATTTACTTTAATGGTGAGTCCTATGTGAGTTCTTTGAGGGTGTCAGCATATAAATAAAGACATTCTATTTATTTGTTTTATTTTGATACTGCTCAGTAGCTGAGGCCTTCTGGGTGATTAACAAAAGTAAACGTTGTTTACTTGGACTTCCAAAAGGCCTTTGACAAAGTCCCTCACCAAAGACTCCTGAGCAAACTTAGCAGTCATGAAATAAAAAGGGGAGGGGGTCTCCTTATGGATTAGTAACTGGTTGAAGAATATAAATCAGAGAATGGGAATAAATGGGAACATCTTCCAAAGGAGAGATGTAAAAGTGAGGTCCCACAGGTTTATGTATTAGAACCAATGAGTTGCAATTAGGAGTGAGCAATGAACTAGCCAAGTTTGCTGATGCCACCTAACTATTTAGGGTAGTTAAAACCAAAAGGAATTGTGAGGAGCTCCAAAGGAATCCCTCCAAACTGGGAGAATGGGCATCAAAATGGCAAATGCGGTTCAGTGTAAGCAAGTGTAAACTTATACAAAGAAGTTTAGACAGATTCCTGGAGGAAAAGGCTGCCAGTGGCTACTAGCCTGGAGGGCTGTGTGCCCCCTCCAGTATCAGAAGCAGTAAAGCTATGTCCACCATTTGCTGGAGAACTTGAGCAGGAAGGAGCTGTTGTATTCATATCCTGCTGGAGGGATCCTGTGGGCAGCTGGTTCATCTCTCTGCAAACAGAATGCTGGACTGGATGGACCCTTCATCTGATCCAGCATGGTTTTTCTGATGTTCTTATTCGGCAGGGCATTTGGAGAAGGCCCTCAAAAGAGGCCCTAGGGAAGTATATACAAAAGGGACATTATATTGGGCTTTCTAAACAGCAGTGCTTTAACCTGCATTGTTCAGGCTACCATATCTTGTGGGTAGTGAATCTGTACCTTTAACAGCCACAGGGAAAAGGCCAAAAATTATAATCATAAATTTTACACATTACTGGCATGTAATACAGCAAGCGGAAAATATTCGTGTTAGACACAAAACCAGTGCACTGTTGTTTTCTAAAAGTACCATTGCCTCTGGATGAATTGCACATTTCATGAAATAAAAAGAGAATATGGTTGGCTTCTGTGTCCAAACATATTTGCAAAGATACAAAGGTTCATTTGCTTGACATTGAAGGTGTGGAACAATTCCCAAACTAGCTTAAGGTCTTAAGCTACTCAGATTCCACTTTTACAAGACCTGCCAGGGGTGTTTTTCTCCCCCAACAAGCAGATACTATTTTTCATCATTCTACTTGTTTTGCAAGTTTTGTATGTATTTTTAGAATGGTTGCCCTTTTAACTGGGAAGGCTAAAGGACTTAGGAAGTTTCTCAGTTGTGTAAAGCTGCTTTCAGCTTTACTGTAATACAGCAAAGTTTGGTCTCACCTTAAAATTACAAAAACCCATGATGGAAAAATCCCTAATTAATGTTCTATGCATTTTAATACTCGTTAATAATTCTGAATTAATGTTGTATGTGTTTAGTATATAAATATAAACATAAATATGTTTATATTTCTCATACCCACAGTTTATACCAAATTTTACACAGTGTCTTACGAATGACAACAGCTTGCATATTGTACCCATATCAGATTGTCATGATCTGTATCATGGCTGCAGAACTTCCATCCTAGGGCCAAACCTAGCCCTGGAAGGAACCACACCCCCTTCTCCACCACTACCCCTTTTTCCAATCATTTCATTGCTGATTTCCAGGCTATTGTGAAGGTCTTTTCCCCCATTCTAAAAGGTCCTAAGTCTTACCCCCTGGCAGTAAAAGTATTATTGTTATAATTACATTACAGTACCATTTTTTCTCTTGCAAAGAACGCAAAGTAGCTTACATAGCCCCGTTCTTCTCCATTTTATTCCTACAGAACCAAGCCCAAAATCCCACAGTAAGTTTCATGGCTGATTGGGGACTAGAACAGACCTCCTCTGAGTCCCAGTCCAACACTCTAACCACTGTGCTACACTGGCTCTCTTTAAGCTAAAATATGCTGCTATTTTTGGCCCCATTCACTCTTACCTTTAGCCCCAACCACCAAAAAAGGCTTTCGCAAACTGGAATTTAGCCTCCAGGCTGAAGGAAGTGTAACACCCCTCGCCTCTACTTGGCAGAAGTCAGGAGAGCCATGATGTGTTTACACCAGATTTCAACATCGCCCAGCTCATCGTCGAGCTAGGCTTGCAGCCTAGAGAACCATTCTGAAGCACCATTTGTCACTGGCCGTTGAACAGCAGCCAAGACGCAAGGGGCCTTCCACGTCCTCGCTGGAAGGAGATGTGGCGGCAGCTAAGGGGCAGGTTGGCTCTACTGGCGCTGCACAGCTATGCAGCCTTCTGGACTGCCCACCGGCATTCATGCCTGGTGTATACTAGTGAGCTGATAGCCAAGCATCGGATCAAGGCTATCAGCCAAGTGGGCTCAGACCAAGCACCCCGACTACTCCCAGCTCCACCAGGACAGTACAAGCAATGCTGGCCTGCCTCGCATACTGCATTACCTGAATAGCAGCCAGAGAGAACCGCTGCAACTCCGCAGTCCGGCTAGGCCAGTTTCAAATTGCCAAACTGCCAAATGACACAATCATAATCCTGTACTATCTAAATTGGAAAATGCATTTAGAAAGGCTGGCAGAGTGATAACTGCAGGCAACAGCATGAAGATGGGGGGCCCCATGAAGTCCCAGCAAAAAGGTTTTAAAAGAGGAACTGCTTCGGATGGCGTACTATGGTTACTTTTAGCATTCTTCGAAAAGGTAATTTGAGTTTACAGCCATTAAAACGCTAATAATAAAATTCATTTGGAGGTGTGGCAAGGGTCATGGCATGGCAGCCACAAGCGCTAGCATGTTGCAGCCTAGCATGATACAGCCAGATATTAAAGTGCCAGGAATCCTTGTCTGACTCACATCACAAGTCCCTGCCAGAACACTTGTTCCTGCAATGCATTCTCCCTCTTAGCTGCAATGCATAACCTTAAATGATGTTAGAGCTTTCTACATTATGGTGTTAATCTGTTCTGTCTACTTTCAGCTTCCTTGCAGAATTGAGATTCAAACAATACATAGTGCTTCCTTTCCTGTTTTTTCCACTACTTCACCTCTAGGTGGCGCTGTGGTACAGAGAGATAGTGCAGCTATACCAATGGGGGAAACTTTGACTTTCAGAAATAATACAGCAGTTTCACTGTTGCAGAAAAAGCACAAAAAGTGCTGTTTTAAATACAAGGGGGCAACTGGAGAGCCAGGATATTATTCAGAGAACCTATGAACAATCATGAGCACAATACATGCCTCATGCAGAACAACTATTAAGTAATAGTTAATTTTCAACCTCCCATCCTCTCCTACAAAATATCTAACATTGATTCTGTAAGCATAATTGCTAAAATAAACCTTTAAATCCTTGAAATATTCCATAGAAATTGTTGATAATTAATTGTTTTTATATTAGATTTTGTATTTATATATTTTGTAACACATCATTTATTCTCTTTTTATGTGCTATCTTGTGATTTTTGTGAACTGCTATAGGAACAGCTAGCTGCTGTTTACTTCAGGTTACCTACAAAAAAGTGGCATATAAATATACTGGATTTAAAATAGTGATTATTCTTATTCAGGTATCTCAATAACACATCAAAAGATGAGCCTGTATTAAATCAATTAATGTTCCTTCTTTCACCTGCTATGTAGAAGCAGAATTAACAGCAGCAGAGCAATCATTGCACATTAAATAATACAGGCAGCTAAGATTTGCATTGTCTGGGTCAGTAGGAGAAGAAATATTTGGGCAGTTAATAGTTAATGTATGGCATGCAAAGTGTGCATATTATTACAACAAAGAATTGGCAGCTGCAGAAGGAAAAGGGCTTGTGCTGTGCCGTTGAAACTTGTCAGTCAACCCATGCCAGGATTCTGGACGTCTGCCTCTCTAGCGCACCCTCATTACATGTGCCTGTCTAAGCAGACTCGCTCATCTGTTTGGAGACGCTCTGCATAAGTCGGGAATTCTCTGCCTTCTGTGGAATTAGATCATAACCTTTCAGAAGCATCCGCCTTGTAACCCTCCTCCTCGCTGGAGTCTATGTGGTATCCCTTTGCAGCTTCACAACCTGTGTGTCTGTTCGATTTCTAGAATGGAAGAAGCTGACCTGCTGAAGGAAAGACTCCAGGCCATCACAGTAAGTGTTGCTCATAATTATATGTATTAGAAAACCACCATCAAAGCAGCTTAGAGGTATCTAGGCAGGAGGACCATGTCGCTGCACTGACTCAAATCCTTTGTTTCCCTTCTGATTTGGTATGGCTTACAGACCACAAAGTTTGGGGATTCAGCATCATTCAGTGTATGAACTGCATTTGCAGCACGCATACGATTTGACAGTTAGCTTCAGGGCGCTGAATACAGCAGACCCAGGAGTCATGCTATGTTTTTATCAGGCATACATGATGCTGGCTTTAGAAGCAGGGCGCTGCAAAGGCATGCATGCATGCATTTGAAGGACACTCAGTCAGAAAGCTATGGAAGAGCTGAACAAAATAATTTCACAGCTCAAAGAGAAGCAAGCAGGGTGGTAAATTTTCTGCTTAGTCAAACGTGTACCTGCCGATAGTTCGCATCAACACCAAAGTTTGTTTTTTAAAGCGTGGTTGATGACATTCAAAACAGTTCACACTGTAATTGGGAGGCTGCATTCACTGAGAGTCACTGTGATGTACCGGATCCTGTGTTGGTTGGGACTGGGGAGATCTGGGTCCTAGTTGTGTAGCTCACACTGGGCCAGTCACTGCCTCTCAGCCTAATCTACCTTACCAGGTTGTTGTGAGAATAAATGGAGGAGGCTCATGCAAGGTGCCTTGGCAGGATATAAGTATACTATTGGAATGCAATGGAAAATAATTATCTACACAAAGGACTCAAGAAGCTGCCTGGAAAATGTGCTTTTCTTAATTGAAAAAATATGGGCAGATAAGAAAAAACATAGACCTTCAGCTCTCTGCTGCCTTAATGATTCATGTTATAGCAAATTTGGGCCAGTAGACTCATCATTTGAGGAGGGGGAACCTGGACGTTCTTGAAGACAGAGCTATGATTGGCCATTGGCATTATGATCCAAGAGGAGTTTTCTAAACCTGGATACATCTTGCAAGGGGTGCAGGGTGACCAGTTCTTGCTGGTGTATTTATTTCATGCACATTTCCACTGTTCCCAATGTACTCCAGGGTTATGCAGCCAAGAGGCAGAAAGTGGAGAGAACTTTACCAATTAAGAAGGAATTGGTTTCGGTCCCTTCCCTAGTCCTTGGTTCAACCTGTTTTCTCCATCCATCCAGCACCAGCCATGCCTTTAGACTGGGTGGAATTCTTGTCTCAGGCAACGGATGCCCAGGGGTGGCAAGCTGGTGTTGCAGGATGGTGCCGTGTGTGCCACAGGGCCTGCCCTGCCTCCACTAAGTGAACGTGCTGCCCTTTCCAGTAGTCTGGAAAGCTGCTGTCCCACCGTCAGTGTTGAGGCAAGATCCAGCTGCTATCGGAGCAGCAGTGGTGAGAGAGCTTGTCTTTGTCTCAGGCAGCAAAAGGTCTTGGGGTGTCCCTGCCTCCCTGAACAGCAAGGCTTCTTAATGGTGAACTGACAGTGTCACTACCAGACTCTCGCTGTGTGAGTTCAGACATGCAAATGGTAGCCTGGGGTAAAGGAAGCATCTGGGGAGCTCCAAGATTTGGTTTTTATCCAGGAGGGGTTCCAGACTTTTTATCCTCCCATGTTTCCTTTTGTTGTTCTTCACATATGCTTCCTCATAAAGCTATATAATTTAATTGTTCTTTTTATAACAATGCATCCCTCTTTATAGAAGACAAGTCCCTGCCCCATGAAGTTTGTAATCTAAAATTTGTCATGGGATGGCACAGAGGATGGTCAAGGAAATGAAGGCAGAAACAGAGAAACAAGAGTGTATTTATTCAGTCGTTCATTTAGGCCTGGTTAATGGGAAAACGCAGAGACAGTGAGTCTTATTACACTGAATTAATATCCCACCTTTTTATCTCTTCTAAGGAACCCAAAGTAGCTTACGTAAGCCCATTTTCTCACAACAACCCTGGGAGGTAGCTTAGGCCGATAGTGTCTGGCGCAAAGTCTCATGGCTGAGTAGGAGCTAGAACCTGGAGCTCCCAGACCTTAACAACCACACCATACTAAGGACAAGAATAGAGATATGGCTTTATTGAAATGTTCTGGGAGGGAATTCCTAATAAAATAAATATTTGAAATTTAAGCTGGTGAGATGAAGGGAGACTTCAGGCACCCTAGAAAGTATGATAGGATCACAGGTAGGAGACAGCTACGTTCAGCAGCAGAAAATCTGCATTCATAGCTTTATCTGTGAGCACACTCAGCTAGGAAAAGTGAGTTGTTTGGGGGTTCACTGTTTACTTATGAACCCACTTTGCTGAGGTTTATGACTAAAGTATGCCAAAGCTATTTTCTGCAGTGATCTTAGGAAGAAATGATCATGCGAAGTTCAGAAATTGGTAGCGGAGTCTGTATTAACTGAACCACCCTGGCCTGCTGCAGAAAACAAACTTTAAAAATAGAACCCTGAAAAACACCTGCAGCAATCATTCTTTTCTCAAATCTATGAGCTGTTTAGTTCAATGAGTCAGAGAAGCAGAGGCTAGAGCTCTTGCAGAGCATATAAACATTAGGAAGACACAGGTAAGTACAGGCTACATTATTTTCTTCTCAAATGTAGTTTATAGCTGCCTTAACAGATGCATGTCAGAAATTGCTATTTGCAATGATGATTCTACAAAGCCTTGCAAAGATACCGAGAAGAACCCTGAATGCTTGCTAACCTTCCCTGTAACTGAAATTACCTCCTAGCAATCTAACCTCAATTAACTTCCCTCTTTTTGTTTCTCACTGTGCTGATAGTAAATATGCTTTTTAAATGCGGCTGTGGGGAAAGAAGCCTATTTCGGGACTCCTGAAGTTAGAGTCAGTATATTAGGATTTGCTGCCCTGACTTCTAGCTAATGCAATAAAAGAATCCAGTGCCCAGCTGCACTTGGCAAAAATACTACAGAAATAATGACTTGCATGTCCACGTCATTAGTATCAAGCACACCCATGAAATCTTGCATTTATTCTGTTCCCGACTCTGAAGCGATCACCTGATTTATATCTCAAACAAAATAACTCCAAGGCTCCCCTACCGAACAACCCTAACATTTGTTCTCAGAGGAGGAACCTACTTTACGTACTTAAACTATTTTAGTAGTCATTTCCTCTTCCCATGGAACTCTGGGAATTGTAGTTCTTTGAGGTGAGGCGAGGCTTTGATATGTTAACAGTTCTTTCTCTGAAAAGTCACCAAACTACAATTCTCAGCAATCTTGCAGTAAGACATGATTATCGACACTGTTTCAAACTGCTTTAGTTCTGAAGTGCAGAGGTGTCAAGATATTTTCTTTCCTTTTTGTAGTTTGTTTACTACTTCTGTTCTCAGCTAACTTTTTCTCTCTTTCCAATGTCCTAAACCAAGAAAAAATAGACAGCTTCTCTCCCCTGCCCCGCCCCCCAGTTCCAGCAAAGATATTAACCTGTAAATCCCACCTCTCTTTTCCTCCTTAAAAGGCTTCCTCCAAAAAGGCTTAATTATTTTCCAGGTCCAAAAATATACTACATTTTTCTTCCAGGACCCACATGTTTCTTTAAGTCCACGGTATTTGCAAAGCTTTTATCCAGCACCTTGTTTCAAACACATCAGTTTTCTTCCTGTCAGTTTTCTTCACTGTTCAACTTTCACCCCATACATAATGATTGGGAATACAATATTATTATTAACATTTATATACTGCCCATAGCAGAAGCTCTGTGAGCAGTTTACAATATTAATACAATCCTACACACAAGTCACCCATCCAGATTCTAACCAAGGCTGATCCTGCTTAGTCTCCAAGATAGGGCAGGATCAGGCACTTCAGAAGATAGACTTGGTCTCCAGTGAAATGTCCTTACACATGATGATCTTTTCTAATACTAAAATGTAGCACTTCTCTTATGGTGTAGAGCAGGGATGGTCAAACTAAGGCTTGGGAACCACATGCAACTCTTTGAGTTTGTTTTGCAGCTCTCTGCTCACTGCTGCAGGTGCCGATGGCCACCCGCTGCCACTTGCCACTCAGCACCCCCTACCGCCCCCAGGCACCTGCTTGCCGCTTGCCACCCACTGCTGCCACCCTAGGGAACCTACTTATGAGTCTCGATCATCTGACATTGACTGTATGTGGCTCTTCCATTGAGCAAGTCTGGCCACCCCTAGTACAGAGCTTCATCTTCGTACTCACTTTAGAAATGCTTCCTAAAGCCAGTGTGGTGTAGTGGTGAAGAGCATGGAACTGGGACTCAGACAATCTGGGCTGTAGTCGCTGCTCACCCAAGGAGCCAGCTGAGTTCTCCCTCGCAGCAGTAACAGTCTCACCAGCACTTCTTCGCCAATCACCTTTATTTTACATGCAAGTCCCTGAGCATATAAGAAGCAAAATGTTGAACCCTCCCTGGCCTTCTTCACCCAAAGTATTGCTTGTGAGTTGTAGGGTGGCCCGACCTTGGGGAGAGAAGTGCTGTGGGACTGGACCCGCCTTCGCTCCTCCTCCTGAGATCCCCATTGGGCCACCCTACAACTGTGAGGACAGATGTTTGGGTCCCACCTCCTCAGAAGGATGAAGCTCCCCATCTGATAGACTCCCCATCTCTAAATCTCCCCCCTCAGGCAGTTGTTGCTCTTCCTTGTTCCCACAGGTGGGTTGACCGGGCCCTACGGCTGCCCTTAAACTAGTCTCTCCCGTAGCAGGCACAGATGGGTACCCAGGGCTGTGGACTGCTCCTGGAGCTGAGCCCGTTGCAGGAATCATCTCAGCATCAGAGTCTGAGCCAGGACAGGCCAACTGCCCTGCACACATCTCCTGTCGAGCCGTCAGTCCAGCCACTGTGAGTTGATGGCTTCTCCAAGTCGTGATTCATGGTTATTTTGAACCACTCTGAACATTCCTGTGCAGATGTTGGTTCTGCCCTGGTGGTCAGTCGGCACTGTTGGCTACCTGTTGAGGCACAGATCCTGGCAAGGGGAGCCATCGTGAACTCATAGAGGCTCCTGGCCATGCCACCGCTCCTCATTTTTGCTACCTGTTCACCTGTGCTAAGATGGCCACGGGTGCATTTTTAGGCATCCCTTGTCTAGTTTGGAGAGCTGACAAAGGACAGTCTTCTATTTGAAGCTGTCCCCTATTTGAAAGGCCGTCCCCTCCATCTCTAGGTTAAAGTCAAAGAACCACAAAGAGGTAGAGTACATCCACACTTAGCGCCTGCAGAGCAGCGTGAGCAGCAGAGGTTGCCTCCACAGTATTCTCCACTGTGGTGAGATGCATTATGTTTCTCTTTAATCTATAAGTACTGTTTTCACATTTGCATATTCAAGCATTATCCAGATTGGTGTCGTCTTTTTGCTTTTTTGGTGATGTGATTCCTCTTTTCTGGCAAATGCTTCCAAATGAGCAGCGAGAGGAGAAAGAACAGGTGTGGCAGGAGCTTCTGTTCACCCTGGCCTCTCCTCTGGACAGCTGCACAAATGGAATGTTTTTTCCTCCGCAGCCTCCCAAATCCTGCAGCCAGCACTGACTTCAATTTCTTCTCTGAGGAGTTTAGGAGTTTGTTGCATGGCATTTTCTCATTGCATAGCTACAGTCCAGGCATATGCCCTGCCCTCTTCATGGCAGCCACTTTGCTTTTCATGTTTACGCCATGAGAACTATTCATAGTGAGCAGATCACTCAGCTCCTTTGTCACATGCACAGGCTGAATTACTCTGTGCATAACTCACATTGCACCACATGCATGAGTTCAGCCACTGCTTATTACAAGTGAGACAAGCTGTTTACATGGCCAAAGGTGAGGGAAAGAATGCCTCCACAAGCAGGTCCACTGTGTGCCTAGCCCTTGCGTATAATGAGTCCGATATGTCAACACTGGGTTGAAATCAGATAAGCTGCTTTCATTTAATGAGTGATATTCTCATGTTCTTATCAGGAACTAAAGGCCTGCAACCAAGGCTTTCATTGTACGATCAAGCTGCTTCATTCACATACATTTACACTGGGTCCAGATGAGTGTGTCTTCCACTTGTAACTACTTCTATTACTTCTTCCTCTGTTTTTTCAGGGGGGAAATGCAGAATGCTGTGGTTGACGTGTAACAACCCACTGATTTTCATGTGAGCTGGCATCTTTTGTTTCACTGCACAACCTATAATCAGCACCTTTGTAGGTTGTACAGTGTAATGTGAGAATCCAGACTGCTTGGTTTTTGAAGGGCTAACATATTCATCAATTTTTTGGTCAATGGATTGTCATTACATGCAAACAGCCCCATGCCTACACAGAATAGGATCATAGAATGATAGAGCTGGAAGGGGCCATGAAGCCCATTGAATCCAATCTCCTGCTGTTACATGCCTTTCAACTGGTGGGTATCAGGGACTTCCTGCCTAGAAGCACTTAAAAACTGGATTGGTTCTTTCAAATGACTATATGAACTTGAGCCTTATCTCACTTCCCAAACTTTGTGTAACTCTCTTCTTCGCTCCCTTTTTTCTGGTTTGATTCAGGATATAATCTTCTTTTGGACTATTCTTCCTTAGAAGTATGTCTTACCACCTTCTATTCTCAGGCCCCTCCTTCTTCTGTCCTTCCTTTCCTCAGGCCTTCTGCCTGCCCTCTACGAGGTCAAAGAATTTAGGTCAATGATAGTTGGGATCCATTTAAATAGACCATCTTAGCCCATGCCAAGCCTCACTCCTTAGGGTTAAGCTAATCACTCAGTGGCAATCAGAAGTGCTTTTGCCTGCTTGGCCCCAACAGCTGAGACAATCCTGCTGGGGTCTGAGACAACACCGCATAATCCTTGAGTGATTATGAAATAATTGCTTCATCTGAGAGTGATTCAAAAGCCTTCCGCTTGGCACGACTGTCACTGAGATATAGGATAATGCGTGTTAGATAAAGCCCAGGGGTGGCCAAACGGAGGCTCAGGCGCTGCAGGGGGCTCTTGGCATCTATTACGCAGCCAACCACCCAGGTGCCCGTGGGCACTCACTTGCTGCTTGCCACCCACTGTCGCTGCCACCCTCAGGCACCCACTAGGACCTCTAAACATCTGACATTTACTAAATTGGCTTTTCCATTGAACAACCCTGGCCAACCCTGATAGCCTAATGCATGTTAGATAGAGCCTATGACTATAGATATTCATTGTTAGATGTGAATGTGTGCATGCCAACACTCAGCACTGCTGGGGCGCTCAGAACACAACGCACTTCCAAAGCCATAATTCCTCTAAAATTAAAGGTGCCAGCTGACTGGCATTGCTGCTCAGGGGTATCATTCCAACCCATGACTCTACACAATCCATAGCTACCAGAGTCATATGCTGGTCTGTTGCTTGTATTATTCCCCTACAGCATAGAGTATTGTGTCCTGAACCAGATCATAGGTAGGGCTTTCATGCTATATAAGCAATCATGCTTGACTTTGTCTTATGCTTCAAGACAGAGCTGAAATTTGCTCTAAGGTCAGTTTTGGCAGCTACTGATCTCAATGGCAAAATTCCTACCGATTTTAATAATCAAGGAACAAAATATTTTTAATCAAGTTTGATTTTTTTAAATGGTTTGCTTTTTAAAGGAGGAAAATCATTTTCATCTTTGCAATTTTCAGGACAAGAGGAAACTGCAAGAAGAAATCACTCAGAAACGCCTTAAAGTAGAAGAAGAAAAACTAAAGCATCAGCACTTGAAGGTAATATAATTTTAGGAATGCTCAGATAATAGCCTTCAGAAATTCACTGCATCAAAATGCAAAATTAAGAGTATTGAGACTTGACTGACAAATGCATGAATGTTAATATCATCGAATAGACTTAAAAACCTTCTTTCTGTGTTAAAGTGAAACTTGCCATTTGTTGCATCTGGGGGCGTCTTGTTACCCCAGACAAAAGTGCCTCAGGCAAAGCAACTGCAGCATATGAAATCCATTTGTTCTGGATAAATGTTTTCCCCAGGAAGTTTCAGTCATTATAAGAATGCTTTCAGGTTTCATCAAGTACTGGTAATTTAAGATTTAACCTTTTCTGAGGTTATGACAATAAAATTTGCAGAACAATGCTTGGCCTATTGCCCGTCACTCCACATAGCAATAGTTGGTCCTTCTAAATTTTAACCTGCATAAAAGTGCTTTCCCTCAGTGCATTTTAATTCTGCTTCATGGAGATGTTAGCTCAGACTCTCTACATTCAAAAGGGACTAAGATGCAGTGTACTTAACCTTCTTCAGCTCCTTTTATTTGGGGTATAAAACTATACCACAAAAGTATTCTGAGGCATGGGGGCCTTTTGTTACCCCAGGCATACCCCAGAAAGAAGGGTTTATGGAAATAAAAGTGGAAAAGACAGGAGGCTGAAATCTGCAGCCTTTCTTTTAATTAGGCAGATTTTTATAATATCTGCAAAGACTAGATTATAGGTCTACATTTGTGTAAAGAGTACAACAGAATGCAAGCCAGGGAGCTCCAAAACCCTCAAGAAGCAAGATGAAGGTTTTCATAGCTTTAAAGGCTAGTAGCTTAAAGGCATGGCTTCATTGAAAAGCAATCGTTTGGGGGATACAAGTCACTACATAAACCATGCAGGGCAAGTTACAAATATTATTTTGTTCACAAATCTCAGTATTTCTTTAATGCTTACTGGTTGAGTTCTGTCTTAGATTTATTGGTGCACTTTGAGTTTTACGAGTTGGAGACAGATTTTATTAATAAGCATTGGGCATTTCAGAAGTCACATAAATAATATGCTTGCGTTGTTTGGTCATGATGTACAGTTTAAAATGAGATCACAGCCAGAAATAATTACATACTAAAAGGAATTGCATTTTTCCCAATGGGGTTTGTTCACTTTAGTATTGGTGCTTTGCTTTATACACCACAATCAGATTTAACAAAAAAGCATCAGAGAAAGGGTTCTGCTAAAACCTCATAGTTTATTTTATCTGGCAAATCTTTCGCCAATTAAGTCAATGGTTCTAAATGAGATGTTTTGGCTCTATCTCCCATGCACAAGAGAAGCATCTGTAGATTTTGCACTGAAGCCAAATCTGCCAAGTTCCTTGGTACAGAATTTCATTTACTGATGGATCAAATTGCCAGCCAGTCATGAATGGGAAGAGGAAGAAATAGTCTTGGGCTTGGCTTTGACTGGACAGTTTGACATTTCTTGTCATATTAAAAAGCAAACAAAAATAAAATCGCACAATGCTCATTTGTTGAAAATAGCAACAAGCAATACACTCTCATAAAAAAGAATCTCGGCATAGATTGTACCCCTGTCAAGAGAGTGGGTGGAAGCACTTATCTGAAATATTTCTGAATCACCCATCCTCTGAATGAGTGCTCACTTACTGCTAACGTGCCACCCATACACTGAATTACAGTTCCACTCTTCTCAGTCTGATTTCTCGTATGAGGACCATTATCCTAAGACCAATTACAAAAGTGTAATTCGCATCAAAGATGTGCTACATAAGTGAATTCAGATTATTGTATTTTTACTTAAACCAAGGTATAAGCACTCCATCACAATTCACTGCATCACCTCCTCTTAAAAATTACTCCATTAATTCCAACATATAATTAGAAGACATCTCATTATTGCTAATATAATAAAGAATGTAATCCGTTGGCCCCAGGACAGTGTTCCAGATGCCATAGAAGTTATCAGAGCTTCCCCTCTGAGTCTATCAACAGTGCAACAAACTTGGAAAGGAGGTTCCGATACTGGAGCGCCATCCGCTCCTCTCACAGCTGCAGTGGGAAGGAACTGTGCTGTTTTCCAAGCTTGCAGGCCTCAGAGAGGTCTCAAGGAGGCAGATAGGGAGGTAAGGAGACAGAGGAGAACAGTTTACAAGGAATCCTATGGCCAGCTCAGCCCCAGCCATGCTAGCATGCTACTTCAGAAAGGCCTGTCTGGAGTAGAAATGCAGCAGTGTGGAGTGAAAATTGCCTCCATCCTTCCACATACACTGCTGGCAATAGCCCCGCAGTGCACTGGATCCACCAAAGCTTCCAATTCTGGAGGCATTCAACTAATGAACACACAACCCACAGGACTGCACCTTTAATTATGCAAACCGTGCTATGTATTAGACAGAATGAAGGCATTACACATCTGTAACATAGCCCTCAAAAATGAATTCTTATTGTCAAAGCCATGATTTCCTATTTTATCCAACCCAACAGTTAGTATTAGGAGCATTATTGCCGATCACAATGATTATGCAATGATAAAAAATACAGGGATTTGGATTCCGTTGCACTGCTTGGAGAAAATATAAATTAAAGCAGGCAGGTATATATCAGAGACATGTAATTATAATCTGATGGATTAGTTTATAATATATTGGTAGGAGCCAGAGGTTTTTGAACAGCTGTTCTGCTTAAGAAGGAAAGGTCAGATCTTCTCTTGGTTACTTGTTGCACACTTGGGAACGAGGATGTGGATTAGGCTCTCCCACTGACATATGGGCACATCTTGCTGTGTGCCACTGTGAAGATTAGCCTCCAAGCTCAAGAAAATGAATTTGCTCCTGTAGAGTCGCATCTTTAATGGCAAATCCTTTGAAATGACAGGGTGCTGCCAACACTAGAAATGGAAAGGTAGCATTCTGGATATATGGAATGTTTTGGTCTGCTACTTGGGCAAGGAGAAGGAAGCAACTCATAATCTCAGTCTCAGCACATTCTTCTGCATGTTCTTCAGTCTGTGTTGTCCATAAACAGAAGGACATATGATGCACACCATGAACAATATATTCAGACTACCTGCTGGGCTCTCTCTTCCCCATCTATGCTTCTCAGGCACTTCGTACTAGGATTAGGCTACCTTTTCCCAGATTAGGAAAAGAGGAAGCAGGAGTTGCTGTTGCTATGCAATATATATAAAATATTTAAATGCCGTCCTATTTGCAAAAAAGCAGGCATCCTTTGTCTTTGCTGTCAGTTCTGCATTCATGAAAGACAGAACGTTTTCTTTCTGTATCTTGTTAATCCCATACCTAAAATAGACCCTCCAAAATCATATGATGAAGGACTTCTAAGCTGTGAGGCATTTCAAAGATGCCCAGGGCAGGAAAGAAGACAGGTGCCCAAAAGAAGATAATCTACAAAGTGCAGTGTTTTGAGCACTCCTCTCAAGATGGATGCGTTCTCTGTTGTAACTGAGGATACTGTTTGTATGCAGGGATATGATCTGGGAAAGCAGACTGACAGCCAAAGCCCCCCAGGGATTGCAACAGGTGTGGGGAGAGCAAAATATGGCAATGCCCAGTCACAGTTGGCATGCTGAAGGCCCAGAAAAAGTGTCAATACATTTCCTCCTCCCATGTAGCAGTTAAAAAGACAAAAAGCCCCCACAAGCACTAGTGGTGCAGACAGACAGGTATTTGCCAGGGGCCAGTACTCTGGCAGGAGCCCTCAGACAAAAGCCCTCTAGACTTGGTCTTTCTCTTAACCATTACAGCCTGCTAGTCTAACCATTGCATCTTGCTCCAGCCCAGAAAACAGTGGTGATAGTGAGGCAGAGGAGGCAGACGAAATTCTATTGCTTGCTGTGTCCCTCTGCAAGCTTTTCTACGTGAAAAAGTGAACCTGCTGTAGCTTCTTTCTGTTTCAAAGCGTTAAATGGTGTTTCCTTTCCTGCATTTCCACTACATAACCTCTAGGTGGCAATGTGGTATAGTGGGATCACAGAAACATATAGGTGCCAAAGCATTTTCTTTCACTGTTACAATAGTACCACATTTTTCCTGCTCAAAAAAACAAAACAAACCCAACCACAGACGCTAAAGTGGAGTGTCACAACATTGTCAAAAAGACCTATAAACAACTTTGAGTAGAGAATGAAAAGTGCAGAATAAATGCTTCAGGTAGAAAAGCTCTGCCTGTCATACAAGAAAGAGGTAAAAATGAAGAGAAGGAGGATGAGGAGTAATAAAGCTGGTTTTGATCATATTGAGAAGGCAGGCCCATTGAAGAAAGGTGCTTCCCAGGGGCCCTTCAGGATCTGGAGCCAGAACTGATTTATCTCAGTGACTTTCTCCCCCTATTTTTGTTTAATGCGGCCACAAAGAGGGATTTCAGGGGGGTAGAATTATACTACCCTTTCCTATGCATGGTGATCCAGATTAAGCCCTCTGTATTTGGAGTAAATCAAGAGTAAAGAAGGAGATGCATGCTATGTAATTAACAAACCATTTAGTGTGACCCTTACTTTCCTATAGATTCAATCAGAAGATCAAAGGGGACACAGAAAAGACCTAAATTTAGCATGAACTGCAATAGTGACCCACCACCCCCAAACCACCACCAGAGTTTATGGAAAATATTCAGTTTGTGCATTGAGATTATCCCCACTCACCAAGATCTTGTCACCCACAATGTGCCAGATCTGAAATATCCTGGAAAGAGATCTGATTTTCTTTATCCCATATCAGAATTCTCATAGAGCTGTTGTGAGGACCAACCATGTCCAGGATCATGAACAATTATTATAGAGAGGTTATAGTATCAGCACTGCTATACAGTTTACTATAAATACATGGGGGAAGTTGTAGTAAATTTCACAGCTCCTCTGATATTTCTATGTAACTTATTCAGTATCTCCTCATAAAAAGATTTTGCTTTTCCTCTTTAACAAATAGTTCCTGGAATGATAGTAGAAGAATCTGTTAAAAAGCTTTAAAAGTAACCTCTTAGCTCTTTCATCTCTTAAATGGTCATTAAAATATTATATAAAGCATAGGTCAACCCTCAAGCAAGACTGACCTCAGATTCCAGAATGGTGGCATGTCAAGGAAATATCGTGGGAATTCTTTGCTTCTGGTTAGCTCAAGGGGCTTAATATACCCTAAACAGTCACAGGACCTAAATAACAAAAGCTTGCCTCATGGCCTCAGTCTCAATGCAAACACAAGGCAAATGCAGCATTCTCCTATTCAAGGCCTTACGAAAATCTTACCACATCCCACATTATGCCACATTGGCATAATATACCCCAAGCTGCCATGGAAGTAAGAAGTCATTAGCTAAGAAATGCAATACAAATACAACTTCTAACAAGGCAGGACTACATTCTGCTTGCTACATTTGCAAAACAGGAAGAAAAATAAGTATCTGCATAATCAAAGGCACCATCACTGCTGTGATACTGACATGTGGTATGAAAATTCAAATTGTGCAATGCTACCAAGTCCAGGAGTTTCTAAAGTGTAGCTCATTTTCTCTAAAGTGGGGAGAAGGGTTCAGACATTCATGACTGCAGCAGCAAGCAACAACTGGTCTGCATGGATGAGCAGCCACAGATGAATCACTGCAGCATTGTATCTTGAAGGATCCATCAACTCAAATGCAGCACTTTTCTGGTGGGACAGTTCAGACGTTCCTCAAAGATGCATCAAGCAATGAGGGACCGAAAGATTCGGTGTGCATGTGAATCACAGCATGCTTCTCCTCCGGAGGCAAACTCACATATCCCGCGTGTTCTGCAAAAGCATGCTTTCTCCTTACTGGTTTCCCAGTGTTCAGATGCATACACTACCTGCCTCCTTGACCTTCACATCCCTCTTGTTGCTGCTGCCGTTGCTGCTGCGGTCATTTGCTTCCTCTTTTGGGTTCCATGCAGTCATAACATGGTGACTCTCATCATGATCAGGAGCTTAGAAACTTGCTGCAGGCATGTCCAGCCGCCCTCCTCCCTCATCTCACATGAGGTCCCTCACCTATTAGTCTTGCGGGGACACAAGTAAATCAGCAATAGGGAAAAGATCCCTGTAGGATATTTGTTCACGATGTTGAAATCAGTCAGCTCAGCTCATCTGAATGTTTGCAAAGATCTCCAATATACAGCCATGCTGCCATCTCAACATACACAGGAAGGTCTGAGGCCTCTTCTAGACTTCTGTGCATGACCTCCAGTTTTGGACTAGAAGTCTCATTAGCCCTCACCATTAGCTTGACCAATGGACTCTGAGAGTGGGAGTCCAACGTATATGCAAGGGATCATTTTGAGGAAGCCTGCCCTACAAAATATTGAAAGCTCTGTATTATCCCGTGTGTCCCAGGGCCAATGAGACTGCACTAAGGCAAACCAACATTTATGTAATGCAGCTAGCACAACGGCAGATCAATACTTTTCCAGTTTTGCTAGATACGCTGGTTTACACTAATGCAATGCCATCAGCTGGATACAATCCCTATGCACATTATCTCTGAATATTTGTTCCGTTGTCCAGAAAGTTCCAGATGTCTCATGCAGCACCAGCATGTAATAACGGAGGATATTCTCCCACAAGCACCCATTACAATTGCTCACCAGCTATCCTTCCTATTGCAAAGGGAAGGAAAAAGAGGGTGAAGTAACAGATTTGTTCATGTGACTGCAGCAGGGGTGGTATCATCAAAGAGGACGTGGAGTGCATTACTCAATTGTCCCTACAGGTTCGTCTGTCATCAGGATGGAGCCAATACATTGCTGACATGGCAATTTGTGTTAGATGTGCAATAAAGGGCATTGCTAATGGATTTTTTAACTATATATAGAAAAAAGCTCTGCGTGAGAAATGGCTTTGGGATGGATTAAATACGTTTACTCCAAAAGAACAAGAAGAAATGCAAAACCAGAATCGAGAGGATGAACAACAGATGTTGGAACTGGAACAAAACATCCTCAGGTGCAGCTCAAGTTCTTTTTATTTCTCCTACGTTAAAAAGCCTTTGTATCAGGTTAATTTTCTTTTTTCTTCTTCTTTTAACAGTGGGATTAATGTCTCTTATGCCAGCTGCTTGCATTCTGATGTTTTGATAATACAGTGAACCCTCTTTCGTTGTCCAGAAAACCCCTTTTAAAATATCAGGTTCTGAATATCCCACATATAGTTGAGATTAAATAGAAAAATACAGAAAAATCTGAGGTCTTAGTGTATGGCACTTTCCTGTGTTCCTCTGATGGACAGGACTTTGCTTTTTTCAATCGTCATATTCAGCTAACAAGGATAAAGCCAAGGAAGCAAAGATTCCAAAACAGTTCACCTCTAGTGAAACATATTTCCCCTGCTTCCCACCCGCCCCTCTGTGCTCCAGAAACATGATGGAGTACACAGGGAGCAGGAACCGCGAGAAGGAGAGCAAGGTGGAGTCTGTGTGCCATAAGGCACAATCCAATGCATGTACGGATTACACGCACTAGAATTCCCAGCATATCCCAGCTAGCCATCCAAGCTGGGGCTGGGGGAATGCTGGAAGTGCAAGACTCTTTCTGGTCCAGACATGAATAGGATTCTGCCCTTAAATGATACTCTGTCTGAGGTGCCAAGCATAATCATCACAAGTCTCTCAGTAACTATGGAAATAGACTTCCCACATGCTGTGAGTAGGAAGGGTTTGGAAACATGGAATTAGCCTCAAAACAGCCGCTTTCATGTTCCCAAGAAGCACAGAGCAGCACATGTTAAAATCCTCTGTGGTCTCATTAAAAGTTCTCTACAGATTCTTTTGGAGGTTTGTTTAGCCAATACTCTACAAGCATCAAATCCTGCCAGAGGAAGGAAGTGTTAAAATGGTTGGTCAACACCAGCGTCATTCATGACAGCTGCATACATTATAATCAGAAATGCATGTTCCCTACCTTGTATAGGGAGCCTTAAGTCATGCATTTGCCATGTACACAAATTGAATCTCACCTGTGCGTGTTATGGCCTTTCTGAGGTGTCTGCATGATAAAAGAAAGGGCTCACATTTTTCATTTGCTGTGTACAGGGCAGTTTCCTTCCCCTGCTGCAGAGAATAAAAGCCTGGATAACAGATTATCACTTTTAAAAATACAGTTGAAGCACCATTTCTCTGTTCTTTCCTTTTTATGTTCTTTGTTTGCCTTTCTCATACAAGCTTTCTTCAAATCATTGTCTCTTAAGACGGTTCCAATTTGATGCATACTCAAAAATGTACCTTGTCTTTTATTGGGTTGGATATTCAGTAGATTCCCAATAAAATGTCAGCAGTATAAACCCAGAAAAGTTACCTGCCAAGAGGGATTCAGTTCCTTACTAGGTATAGATAACCATGCACTGTACAAAATGTTACACAAGGGAACAGAAGCTAGCGAATAGCATTTTACTTACTGGTTTTTTATCATGTCCTGTAATTCATTAGTCTATTTTAAATAATGAATATGAATTAGTGCTAACTCAATGATAGAATTTATCACCCATGCTGCTGTGAACTATGTTTTCAAGCAACACCCTTAATTAACCATTCCTTTTGAATTAACCTTGGCAACAGAGTGTCCAAACCCAAGCTAAATGGAAGTCACGCCATCCCTTCCCAGAGAACACACTGCAACTGCTGGAAGAAACATATTATTTCCTGTTTTAATTTTCGTGTGTAGTGCTAACCTGTTGCATCAACTTTATTTTTACTAAAACCCAAAGATCCAGCAATCAGAGCAGGGACCAAAGTCATACACATGGAATAGGCATGAATAACCAGTGGGCAGCAGCCCAGGAACCACATACCTGAGCCCTGATTCCCAACCACTGCAAAAATCCTTCCTGGTTATCCTGATGGCTCTTCCAAGAGTAATCCCACTTAGGACTGCTGGGGACATTAGTCAAATGCAGTTGTTCACTCTCTCCCAGAAAACCTCCTAGGTCTAATTTAGGTGGGAGTAAAAACTTTTGCTGATCTGCTAGTGCAAATCACTTGGAGATCTACTGTAAATCACAACCTATCACAAACTATTTTCTGGTAAATCACAACCTCTTTTCTGCCCACTCCGATATTAAACCTGCCAATGCACAAGCAATTCGTTTGCAGAGGTTCTGCATAACCCACTTGCACTGCTAAACATTTCTCTTTTGAATACTGTTATCTTCAGACTTGAAAAAGAAATTGAGGACCTTGAGCAAGAAGAGCTAACAATCTCCATTAAAGAAAAAGCCATACTGAAGAAGCTTAAATCTGTTGAAAGGACTACAGAAGATATTATAAAGGTTAGTGTCTAATCCTGGAAACCTTTTCTCATTGTTGCTTTGTAAGAAAGAAACAGTAAAGGGAGGGAGCGGAATAGAAGCAAGCAAACAGTGCAAGCTTCCCATCTAACACAAAGCCATGGAAACGAATGGTGACTGTAATCCAGTCCTGTGCCTCAGAAGCAAACCCCGTTGTCTTTAATAAGACTTAATTTTTGTGAAGCATCCAGAAAGCTTTGGCTGCTGTCATACTGCCTGGTAAGTGAATATAAGATTGCCATCTAAAATGTATCCTAGTCAATTTAGGATTAGAAATACTGGCAATTCTGATTTGTTGTTTTGCCAGATCTATTCCGTGCCACAGGAAAATGTCTCTGCATTATACTTGTACTCTGCACTAGTGTATTTATAGCTTGTACTATGAACTCTGACGTTATTTTAGCATGAAGTAATTCAATGTTAACCATTAACTGTGCTGGCGGGATGCCAAGAATATATGGGAAAAATGTCTCTGGCCTGCCTTGTCCTGAGCTCAGGAAAGGACAAATGCTCCCTATGTTTATTCAACTTTCAGAAAAAGCCTGAGCAAATATGTAAACTTGCCAGGACAAAGTGAAAGTCAAACAGGCCTGAAGGACTATTATGCAATTGCTCTAGTGAAAACCAGTGACTGCCCTTGTGTGCCTTGAGGAATTTAACTGAGGATGTGGAAAGTCACTAAAAGCCTTGCACAAAAAGAACTGTCTTCAGCCAAGAACCATGTTCCATAACAAATAAAACTGACCTATCACAGATGCCACAAAACAAATAAAAGATAAATTTAATAACTGAACATAAAATGGGAAGTGCTTGATATGTACAAGGAAGAAAGAATGCTGTGATCTCTAATGATGAGCAGAATTTTTAGAGAAAACTTACAAGAAAAAGGTTTTTTGGATTCTTTATATTCTCACTCCTTGGAAAAGGTGGCCACAGTGCAGAATTATCTTCAACTATTCTTCACTATTTTGAGGAGGTGACCTCCTTTTCCTCCCCTCGAAAGCAACTCTAGGTTTCAGGTCTCATGGAGGATGCAGAATGGCACTGAAACTTGCAGTAGTCCAAGGGAAGGGAAGGGAAGGGAAACAAAACCCTTAGAAGGAAAAAGAAGTTTTGCTACTGTTTCTGTAAATGGCAACTCCAATCCCAAATAATACTGGAAAAATTTTCCTCACCCTGAAAAACAATCAGTGAAATAGTCATCTCCTCTCCACTCCTGATGATGTCCTGCCCACATGTGGAGAAGTTCAGCCACTCTGTTCTTCATTCGTTCATCCATTCATTATAATTATATTGCACCCTTTTCCTGCAAGGAACCTAAGGCAGTTTACATAATCCAGCCCTCCCCTCCATTTTATCATCACAAGCAATGCAGTGAGGCAGGTGAGGCTGCGAGCCAAAGTCACTCAGCCGTCTTCATGGCTGAACAGGGACTAGAACTGAGATCTCCCAAGTCTCAGTCCAACACTCTAACCACAGGGCTCTTCTATGCCATGACCTATTCTGCCACTCCATGGTAGAGTAGCACTGGCACTTCATTCCCTGCTGGTTAGTCATCCTGGAGCCTTGCAGTTGGGTTGCCAGAATGCTATCACTGATATTGCATTAAATTAGGCCAGGCCTTTCTAGACACACTGCCCTTCCAGAAGTGTTGGCCTGCATGTCCAAGTATCCCCAGTCAATATATCCACTGGGCATGCAGGTTGGGAATTATGTAGTCCAATAGGCAATTGGACTACATAACCAGTTGGGAAAGGCTATGTATACCCAACAATCTACTTCATGGCATGCCACAGTTTCTTATATAAGCATGAATGCATTTGCTGACCTGCAAAACTATAGCAGATTCCATGCATGCAATCATTACAGAGGAAGCTGTCCATCAAGATATAATCCCATCCACATTGTGATATTTGTTTGCCTGCATCCAAGATCCTAGGTGCCTTTTTTAATATACACCAATCATGATGCTCATCCCATGATGTTCCGCTAGTCATGGGCAAAGTTAGTGACCCACAAACAGACCTGATTGGGACTTATGCATGCTAAATATGTGTGGCCAGAGCACACAGCACCTGCTCCAGAGTAATGGAATGTTTATCTTGCCAGAACTCAATATCAACTCTTTTAGATGTTTAGATTCATGTATCGAATTGGGCTTTCAATGGCTGGAGTCATGTCAATATTGGATAGACATTACCATTCATATTTTCACCATTTTGTGTTTGTTTCAATGCATAACTTGTCCCTCTAATTCTTAGTAACATACCAGATATTCACTGGGAAAAGACAAATAATTCAATGTAAAACGTTATTAAAATTATACAGTTTTACTGATGTTTCTGTTTGGCAATGTCTGGTACTCATGGGAGAAATGTCTGGACTAATGCTACAGAGGAATTATTTTTTGATCCCAAACCTTTTCAATGTTGCAATCCTTTGGAAATAAGCACCATTAAATATTGTAGGACCTATTTCTTAATAACCACACATAAACTTCAGCAAACTTTAAAAAACTGATCAGTTTATTGCTTGCTTGCTTGCTTGCTTGCTTGCTTGCTTGCTTGCTTGCTTGCTTGCTTGCTTGCTTGCTTGGGGCATGCCTATCCCATCCTATGCCAACATCTCAGGATGGTGATACAAAACAGTATAGTGGCATCATACAGGATAGAATATAAATACGTGTATCTCATAAAAACAGCATTAAAAACTGCAATTAATCCTTAAAATACAGGCAAAATAAAAAGGTTTTGGCCTGGCACCAAAATGAATAAAGCATCCGCTCCAGACACACCTCTCTGGGAAGCAGCTTCCAGAGCAGGGCACCAATGTAGAAAAGGCCCTTCTCCAAGTAGCCACTCTTCTGATTTCCTTCAAGGGGGACCCCCAAAGAAGGACCTCAGACAAGGATCTTAGGGGACGAGCAGAGGCATATGGAAGTTTGCATAATAATTTCTTAGAACTGGATGAAAATCTCATAATTTGTTACTGCACTCTCTCTCTCTCTCTCTCTCAGGCTGTAAAGGTGGAAAAAGTAGAGATTACAGAAGGTATGACTCAAAGCTTAAAATTTAAAATTATTTATGCATAAATTGAAAAGTATGTATATTGATATGTATATCTTTTTACAGAGCCAGCCGACTACATATATGCCAATATACCAGACCTTCCAAAATCGTTTAGACCATCTGCACTTAAAAGCACAGGAGTTCTAGAAACTGAGGACAATGAAGAAAAACGGAAAGGTACAATTCAGCAATGCAATTCAAGAAAGAGGATTGGCATACATGGAGTGCATCTAAAATGGTTTAAAATCTGGAAAGTTAACTAAGCATTGGAAATGTGTGTATATGGCAATGCCCTGTGTTCTTCTTACCAAAAAGAAAGCTTAAAATGTGTATAGACACACACCCACATGACATGCATGCACACACATTTCATAAGAACTCAAGACATTGTCTTCTGCTGACCTTGAAAGGGGTGGGTCCACCCAGGTCCTGCCCATCATGCATCCCATCATCCTGTGTAGTCACCAAAGGGTTTCACAGCCACCAACTGGGGCTTTACCCCAAAAGGGTTTCCCACTCCTGGTCCAAACTGACTGGTAGTAACTCTGCAAAGTTTAATCTAGAACGCTTTTCAAGTGCTACTTGAAGGCCCTACTTGTCAGAATTTGAACTCGGAACTTCTGCATGAAGTGCATGGGTTCTGCCTCCAAGCCATGGCTTTCGAGGAAAAAAGTGTTTTCTGCTTTTTAGGCTGTGGAAGTGCTCTAAATGGCTATCCATAGCATGGGTGGCCAGATGTGCTAGTAAAGCTCTTTGTGGCTAATTAAGTCCCATGGATTTATGTTTAAAAGCAGCTAAACAAAGGATCCTATAGCCCCCTAACATTGTTTTAGGGACCATAGAAATCATACCAACTTCTCCAGCTGGGAATTGGATGCCACCCCACTTCCCCCACTCCCCCTTGCAGTCAGCATGGGCAGAACCACACTGGCTGCTTCCATCATCAGGAAAGCAACCTTGGAGAGGAGTTAAAGGGGGCATATGAGGGGGCAGGGAGGAGAGGAGAGTGGGGTGGCCAGGAGACAAGCTATCCTGAAGGAAGCCACTACAGCCTCTTTCCTTTCTTGTACAGGACAGTATCACTACATGGCCAAAAATAGCTGTCCAGTGAAAATGCAAAACAGGAAAATTGGGAAAGCAAAGTATACCTCCATCCTTTCTCCCACTCTGCATTGGAGAAACATGAGTCAGTGAGCTTGGAGGCTGACATTCATGGCTATAGGATTACTCCCTTACCTGCTCAGCCCATGGAGATCTACCACCAATCTGCCCTGGTTTTCTGAAGCTGCAGAAATGCTCATGCAGCACTAGCTGAGGTTGCATATGCTTCTCTCCCCTTCCTTCTCCCACTACCAACATAGCCTTATTTTATATCAAGGTGGGAGAACCTGTGGTTCTCTAGATGTTCTTGGACTACCACTCCTATAATCCTTCATAATTAGCCGTCCTGACTAAGTATGTTGGAAGTTTGCTTATAACAGTTCCTGGTGGACTATAGTTCCCTACCCTACTTTCAGTGATAGTGGGCTGTAGACACTATTGCAACAAACAGAGATTCTTACGGCAGAGCAGTGAGGCCAAGACTACTTATGCTGCCTTCTCCAGGTTTAATGAATTGCAGACAGATACCCAGAATAGAAAGACAATAAAAAAGGCAAGTCTGTGTGTGGGACAGAGGGAGGAATCCCATGAACTCCCAAACTACCCCTGCTTCTTACTCAGTGAATCTCAAAATCTTCTCCCCAGCAGCAATGTACCCTGCTAGTAGATCACAGTATATCTGGTGACTGATCCCAGCCATCTGTGGTTGCAATGGTCATAACAGCAAGCATCACTTAACAGTGACAAAACCTGCTAGACCAAGGGTTGTGCCAAACTCATATAAAGTAGATTGATTTAAACAGGAAGGAGCAGGGACAGAGTGAGTTCAGTCTTTCCCCTAACTTCAGCTTGCTTCCATCACATCACCTATCCAGCTGAAAAAAGGCTGCAAGAAAGGATACAGTTCTGCCATTGTTATATATAAGTTCTTTGATGTTGATAGGCATTATTCACCTTTTAAAAGTTCCTGTTCCTTCCAATACAGCCCTGTTTGCTATGGAAATTAAAGTTGAAAAAGATATCAAGACAGGAGAAAGCACCGTTTTGTCCACAATACCACTTCCATCGGAAGAATTTAAAGGTGCAGGAGTAAAAGTCTACGATGATGGCCGAAAGTCTGTCTATGCAGTGTGTGCCAATGGAAATATAAAAACCAATGAAGTAGATGACCTTGCTCCTGTTGAAGTGGAGAACCTCTTAAGGCAAGCAACTGAAAAGCAGTCCAAGTTTCCCACTGAATATCATGAACCAGTATATGCAAACCAGTTTTGCAGACCCACCACCCCACAGCAGGATAAGTTGGTCCAGAGAACAAATGGTGAAAAAGGTGCTATTCAACATAAGATCAACAGATCTGACTATTTTTATACTGAAAACAGCTATAATAAAGACAAACATAATCAAACAGAAGAAAATGGTCTGGAACATCTTTCAAGGGACTGTCAGCAGAATTCATGCTCTCCAGTTCTTCAGACAGGAAGGTCTCTACAGATTAGCCCCCAAAACAAGATGACGCCTGATGTTCAGACAGAATTTCATGAAGGAACATATCAAGAGCGGAGAGAGGACCATCAAGATGTAAAGCTCAGAAACTCTGTAATTAATAATGAAAAGCCTTCTCCCACAATGCTAAAAAGTGATGAAGATTCTACTTATAGTGTGGTCCAAGCTGTGCCGTGTTATGTGGATGATACAGAACCCGTTACAATGATTTTCATGGGATACCAGCACGTGGATGATGAAGAACTCAGTAAAAACATCTGCGGATATGATGGGGTTATCCATGCAGAACTTGTTGTCATTGATGATGATGGTGAAGAGGAAGAGCATAAAGCTGAGACCCCTTTGTATCATCCAGTAGGTCCCTATAGTCAGGTCTACCAGCCATCCAACCAAACAGAAGCAATTCCGCAGGCAAAATCCAGCAAAACTACTATTAACAATGTGAAAAAGGCACCTTACAAAAATTCCATATCACTCAAGGAACAAGAAGAAAGTTTGAGCAGTTCTGCCCTCAATGGTCAATTTGATGGCCAATTAGCAGGTGATGGAACTGAAGATCCCTCCTTAACAGGTAAAAAACCAGGCAAGTCAAGACATTGTTGTGCTCTCATGTAACAGACTGATTACTCCTGTTCCTCTCTGTTCCTTCCTATTCTTCCACCTCAAAAGCTTTTCTACGCAAGGTGTTAATTGTGGGCTTGTCATTCTTAACGTTTGTTTAACTGTGGGTTCTTCAGAGAAGGTTGTGGCTCTCCAGTTTCACTTCCATTTTTTTAAAGCACTTTTACGGTTTCTTTTAGGAAATTGGAGTATTAATTGTGAAAGAAAACATATTTTCCTACTTCAGTCATCAGGTTGTGCTGCTATGCTATATTGCCACCTAGAGGTTATGCAGCACAAAAGCAGGCAAGGACTTTTGCAAAGAGCTTAGAACTCAATTCTACAATGAAACCAAAAGTACATAGAAAAGATCAACAACCTCGTTTAGAAAAGCTCTAGGTCTGACTAATTTGCAATTATAGCCCATTTTCTCCTTGTTTGTGTTCTAATTGTTTCGTGTAATCTTCAAAGAGGTACTAACTAGCTGCTGTACTACTTGGATGGACTAAAGTGCTCAAACTTTAAAAGCTTTTTAAAATGGTTTTTAAAAGTGTCCTGAAGTCAGATGGGAGAGGTGGAGGTGGGGTGGCTGAAACCAGATATGGACCTAATCTTTAAAATACTGATTTTAAAACTGTATCACTGTCTTATGGCATACCAGAAAAATGGAATGGGATTGCATTTTGGTACTAAGCTTTTCTTTCTATTACATGACTCCCCAATTCTGGAGCTCAGCTTATGCCTCTTTCTGTTCAGCTGACTTTGTACCTAACATGCCTTGCACCTTAACATAGAAATACTGCATTAACAGGGTTGCTTTTGTTTAACCTTGATTAATGGTGTCCACTTCACTGGAAATGTCTTTATCCAAATTTTGGGATCTTTTCTTAGCCTCCTTTTTTGAATTTTTTAAAATAATAAATGTAACTAAAATTAAATTATTTTGTCTGTACATTAACCACAAGCTGTCTGTCCTTCTACCTTGAATAAAAGTGTCCTGCGTTTTCTAATAAGTTTGCATGAAATCTTTCACGCTGCTTCTCTCTATGAACCTTGCGTATTCTCAACACTTCACAAAAGTCCGTAACCTTCACTTCAAGCTGCTTAACAGCTCCTATTTATGCTATATCTGAATATGAACAGCTGATGGTATCTCTCTTGGTCAGTGAGGTCTGGTGATGCCAATGTGAATGGGAAAGAGGTCCACTCCAGACCACAGTCTGTACTTATTTGGAGGTGGGTAGGATTCAACACCATGGATAGCTTCTTAAAGTTTCAGCTGAAACACAGAGTGGATACATCACCCCACTGACATTAAAATCATTAGGCTCTGCTGCTGAATGTAGGATTGACCCTTACCCAATGTAGACCATAACTGCTAGACCTAATCCCCAAAGAGGTGAAGCCTTACTATTTGACTTTTAAATGGGTTGCTTTTATTGACTAGATTGCAATAATAGCATGATCTTACATAGGCTTACTTGGAAGTAAGATTTAGTAATGAAGATCAATAACCCTACTTGGACATGCATTGATTTAGCATCAGGGCATCAGAAGGGTCTAATTTAAATGTTTGAGGGGGGTTGCATTTACATAGAGCTAGATATGTATGGTAACCTGGCAAACGCTTGACAATCTTCTCACCCCCCCCCCCCCATCTTTGCATCGCAGGTAGTCAGCAAAAGCAGGACATGGATCAAACAGGGAATCACTTGCCGCATCCTTTGTGTTGTCTGCTTGTTTTAAGTACTCCAGTTTAAATGGCACATATAAATCCAGCTCTCTGTGTTATGCTGACTCGTGAATTCAGGGGCAGTTCCCACATTCAAACAGGGTGTTCTCTCCCCTTCCTCCATATGAACCTTCCCATCTAAGGAATGCTAAAAAGAAAACTCTGCATGAGCCCAACACCCAGAGATAACCCATAATAAGGTTGCCAAAGTGCAAGAGTTCCCGTAAGTGAATAAGAGTGCCTTTGCTGAAAGATACAGCACCATTTGCACCTTCATACACAAAATATACAAAAATGTGGGGTAGCTCGGTGTATTTTCAGCTCGGAAAACTTAACTGCTCCGGATGGTCCAGCCACTCTTCGACAAAATGTGGGAATGGACAAGGGCTCTAAATATCCAAGGCCACTCTCCCCAAATGCGCTAAGACTACATTTCCCATTTTGTGCAGTAAGTTGGTATGGATGATAGGACTTGTAGTCCATGACACCAGGGAGGTGCCAGGGCTTGTGGCCACTAATTTAAGTCCCCTTGATATAAATTGGTCTTCTCTAAGTAGGAAAAACAGAATGGGTTTACTCTATAGTAGGATACAGCCCCAGGATGTGGAAAGCTGCTGCAGGGCATTCAGCCCAAGGCAAGGCCTTCCATCATCCCAGTTTCTGCGTCCCTCCCAAGCACAGGCAGCAGCAGAGCTCAGAGGACCACCTTCCCTTGCTTTTTCTTCACATTAGATCTGTTACACTATTGCTGCTGTTTTTCCCTTCCAAGAGCACTGCAGCATCTGTTCCCACATCTATTTTAACAACACTTGAAAAGTAGCTTTGTGCATACATTTCTAGAGAAATACATTTCTACTCTTACTGTAGAACATAACAGGGGGAAATGTAAGTCTGATGAGTTTGGATGACGGGACCAGCTAAGCACATTCAAAGCTGTCTTTATCACACCTATTTTAATGCTCATGATTCTAGATTGAAATCTAAATCCGCCTCCCCTGACTTCTTCTGTTTTCACTACAATTCCCATTGCCCACACTCAGCATGACCTGTGATCCTGCTTGCTAGCGTGATTAGACATACAGGCCAACTTAACTGAATGGCAACAGGTCAAGAAAGATGATATATCTACTGTTAAGTTTATTTTTGCTGACAAAAATAGGAATCCGCTTATCTTGCCCATGTTGGCATCTAGTCGTTTTCATCTGTTATGCTGCTATGAAGCTGGGGTTGCATTTGCTCAGAATTGGGGAGGTAGAGCAAATGTTTCAGGAGAACCTGCTGCTGCTGCTGCTGCTGTTGTTGCCTCCCCTCTCCAGTTTCATCCAGGAATTGGAGAGGAATAACATCCGTTTGCCAGTCAGAGAGCTTGGCAACACTCCTATCCCAAAAAGGAGACTGTTTATACTCCCCAGTTCTTATAACAGCTCTTATGCATCCAGTAGGAGATAAAGTGCAGTGTGGAGCCTTATTGTTTGCTGTTCTGCCTCAGGCAACAAAATTTGTAATCCATACTGACATCCAAGAGGATGCAAAACAACTAGGAGCCAGATTGTGCCTAGGCTCAACTCCAACTTCTGCTTTCAGTGCCAGGCCTTAACCCTAGAACCTGTGAAGGCACAATAGCTGGAAATGGTTTTGCACAGGTGCAGAGAATGTATTTTCTTGATTACGTAACAACAGGATCCCATTCCTCACCACCACCATCAGGGATTAGAGAGAAGGATCTAGATCAGGCTGGTCATTCCAGTTGAGTCTCTGGTCTTTCTTTGCTTATACAGGCAGTCCCCAAGTTTCGAATGTCTGAGTTATGAACAACCTGTACTTACAAACAAACTGCTAGTATGCCTATTAATTTTAAAAAAATACTGCAGAAAATCATCACCACCCTATAGAGAGAGAAAACAAAAGGAGAGAGAGGAAAGGCCTCCAAGGCATCACCACAGAGAGGAAGTGAAAAGTTAGAGAGGAAGGCCTCCAAAGCATGCCTTTCTTCCCTGCCTATCAGGAGAGGGAAATCTCTGGGCATTTCCTTGCTACAAAGAGGAGGCACTGGTGAGTTTGGGCCAGGGAGGGACTAGCGATAATCTCAGGACGGGGACGCCTTTGTAACCCAGGGAAAGCTTGTATATTATACACAGGACTATCTTGTACTGATCTTTCTTTGAGCTGCTAAGTGTTCAGGAAACTTTAATCTTTGAAAGGATTGCTGTTGATTAAACAAGTGGCGCCTCCTTATCAACTTTTTCCTACGTACTACAGAAGCTGCGCCTCACTACTCTGTCACAAAGTGACAGAAATTAAATGAAGTTAGGCTAATCCACTGCAGACAGTTCTCTGCGGAACATTAATACTTGTCCTCGCTTTGGTTCCCACCTCTGTACTCTTTCCTATGCATTGTTAGTGTGGCGCACTGCACACTGGACAATCAGAGAATGCTAGGAAATGAGTAATTTTCCAGAACAATCTCTTAATTATCCTGCTTGCCGTAAGGAGGAAACAAAGCCAGGAAGGCCTGTCCACAGGCAAGGTACCAACGCACAAAGAACAGTTTGTGAAGGCAACAAAGACTTTTTCTAGGAATCACTTTGACAAAGTGCATCCTACTTCGACCACAAAAATCAGTGCCAACTCTCCCACATTTGGAGAAGGTACAATAAAGGACTGTGTGAAGCATTCCTTGATACCTTTGCACTGTCAGAAGAAAGAGCTCAGACATTCTAAGGAAAAGCTAGGCTGACCTCTTTCTGTACAAGTAGGAATACATTCTGTTCCAAGCAAGGAGTGATGCACGGGTGCCAAGATGAACAGAGAGTCACTCTCTGTGTTGGCTTTCCTCTACGGGCTACTTTGCAGCTGTGTTGGACTGCAGTTCCCAGCATCCCCCAGACAGTCCTTGTTTGGAGGAGAGTTTTAATTCAGCTCACCTAGAGGGCACCAGTTGGTCGGGGGTGGGGAGCCCATGTACATCTTGCTACTTGGTTCAGCAAGGCAGTTGGAGCACCTTCTCGGATTCACACATTTTCAGTGCTTTAGTATAATCCAGCCACGGACAAAGGGGCACTCAACAAACTTTCTTGACTTCCAACGGATTTAATATCAGCTACAAAAAGACTCTCTTTCTGACTTAGAATACGTGATGCATCCTGGTCAAAGAGTAAATTTGCTCTTGCATGCGCAGGTCGCTGCCATGTATGATTCTTGAGACGCAGAGAAGCAATTAGGTTCATGATCAGGTATGGATGGAGTCATTGATGTAATATTTTTATGAGTTCATCTGTCCATCCATTCTGGCCTGTTTTCGCAATATATTACAAAAGTCAAGCCAACCTACCACCACCCTCTTTACAATCCACACAAAAATGCATTGCTATAAACATTTCTCCTAACAAAATACATGTTTCTAAATAAATGCTGATATAGAACTCTCAGGAGACACAAAAGCAGTAGAAAACCAAGTTGCAATCTGCACATAAGCCCAGGGGTCAGTCTAAGCTAGTGTCTTATCTTGGTACTGTACTCCCAACCACAGGCCTCGACGCCTTCTCTACATCCATTTATGAGGACTAGTTTTTCTGTGAATTGCAGTTCTCGTGCACCACCTAGGCAACTGTGTTCTCGTCTAGCAGGATTCTTTCTCTTACCTATGGAAGTTGTTTCAAAACTAGAAACCTGATCTGGAATATTTTTTTATTCCCCTCCTAAGCCCAATTGCTCACCTTCCTCCCATTCTTTTGCCTTACACAGATTTTTAGAGAATTCGCAGGCAAGAAATCTAGCATTAGGATGGCTATTTTTTTTTACTACACTGCTACATTGGTGTGGATAACCACAGAGTTCATTTTTAATCTGCATTCCTGCACAACTGTGAAGCTGCACAGTTACCAGACTAAAACCAAACAAATGCATCAAAACACCACCCTAAAACAGCAGTTAGGCCATGGATCCTCAAACTATGGCCCACGGGCCGAATCCGGCCCGCCATGTTGATTTATCCAGCCGCCCTCAGAGCTTTTGGACTCACTCGGAGAGAACGATCTCCAAGCGAGTTCAAAAGCTCTGAGCCGGCACAAGCGTACTCAGTGGGGAGATGGCCGTGATCGCAGTTGCACTCATGCAGGGAAGATGGGCACAATCGTGGTTGTGCTCGGAGGGGGGAGGGAAATGGCCGCAATCGTGCCCGCCTTCCCTGCACGAGCGTGGCTGCGATCACGCCCGTTTCCCCCCCACCACAGCACAATCATGGACATTGTAGCTATGTCCCTTGAATATGGACATACTCTTTCCCACCTCATCTTGGGTTTCTGCTGCAGCCCAAGAGAGCGGAGCAAACATTTTTAACTATTTTTAAGATTTTAATTAATTTTAATTATTTTCAATGTGCAGTGTGGATAGGAATTCATTCATATTTTTTCAAACTATAGTCCACTATTTTTAAGATTTTAATTAATTTTAATTAATTTTAATTATTTTCAATGTGCAGTGTGGATAGGAATTCATTCATATTTTTTCAAACAATAGTCCACCCCCTGCAACAGTCTGAGGGACAGTGAACTGGCCCCCTGTTTAAAAAGTTTGAGGACCCCTGAGCTGGGCCTCCTAGCTCTGCTGTAGGGGCAGCAGTATCCTGTGCCTTGAGCTTACAACAAATAAAGTACATGTGATCTTTTCCACTGGTCTTCCGCCTCCAAGACTATATCCTGGCATTTAACCATATTATAAATACACAAGGTGCTGCACCATGGTCACAAATGTGTACCACAATGTACCTTTTGTTTTCTTGAAGAGCTGCACAAAAATGCCTCAAAGTCAAATGAACTCCAATCTAGTGTCTACCTTGGTGGCATCAGTATCTCTCAAGCCATTAATTTAGAACACAGGAAGCTGCCTTATATAAAGTCATACCATAGGTTCATCTTGGCCAATATATTCAACAGCGACTGGCAACCATTTTTCAGGATTCCAAGCAGGAATTGTTCTATTCCTAGCTGGAGATGCTGGGAGTGGAAGCTGGACCTTCTGCATGCAAAAATGCACAGTGCCTCTGAGTCATGACCCCTCTCATGGGCTTTAGTAAAGAAGAAAAAAAATTATTGCACCAGCTAGTCTACCAGGATATAACGGAAATAAAGCAGGACTGATCAATGAAAACGCAACTTTTTTACAGCCAATAAACAGGGACATTCAGCGCAATCGTACAAACTCTGTCCCCATTAGAAGGAAGCGTCCGATTTTGGAGGCTTACTAGTATCCAGTGCCCTGCCAGGTTGCTGCCAAGAAGCTGGGAGGAGTCATGGAGATGACATTCACATCTCCATCCTGTCATTACAAAATATTGTTCAATATGGGCCTCTGAGCTCATCTAGGGATGGCACACAGCTGAGTGTTACGCTGAGGCTACTGAGGGTATGGGATTCCTCATATTCCAGCCTCTACCCTCCCAGCACCCCCAGAAATCTCCTTTTGAGGCCGTATTTGCAGTGCCAAGCAGCAGCTGGCAGGGCAATGGACTGGGAAGTCCTTGTAGTTCTGATCTAGAGCTGGGGAAGGTGGCTTCCAAGTATCTTACATTCCCTGGGTTGCACCAGTAACAAAGCAGATACAATTATCACAATGCTACCCATGTAAGAAGATTAACCAGCCATGTCCATGGGGCAGGGTATCCACTCTGCACCAGTTCAAGTGCTGGAGCTCAGCACCATGGAGAGCTCCTTCAAAGTTTGGGCTGAAATCCAGAGTGATGCACTGCCCCACTTACACTGGAGGCATCAGCCTTCACTGAGTTCAGCTTTGCTCCAGCTCTTTGTCTTGTTCTGTTATAAATACAATGCATATTAATTTCGGCTTTTTAACACAAAAAATAAGGCTCTCTCAAATACTAACTGGGGTAAGCTTCTCTAACACAAAAGATTTAGTATCATCAGTGCGATATTCTTCATTGTGGTGTTTGTTTTTATTTTACAGCTCTGAGAATGAGAATGGCAAAACTGGGGAAGAAAGTGATTTAACAGCTACAATGGTATAATGCTAAGTTCCTGGCAGTGTGACATGAAGCAAAAGAATAATTCTCTATGTTTTGGCCCTGGGTGGATGTTGTTTATTCAAATGTACATACATGGGAATAATAGCACTTTACAGGAAAATGAACAGTAAGACACAAAGTTTGCCCATCTAAATTTTATTCTGATTCATACCACTTCAAAATCCCTTCAGGGTTAACTGGAAATGTTTGTTAGGAGCTATCTTTTTCTGTGTTTTGATGTGCCATAGGAACCTAAGAGCCCGTATCTTGAACAGGACTGCAACCAGCGACATTTTGAATGACTTTCTCTGCCCCATTGATCCAGCTTACGCTTGAAGCCTGACTTGTGAAAAAGCAAGAGCAAATCTTTCTATCTTTACTAAGCTAGTTTGTGTTAGGGCGTTACACATTGTAATTCTTACATTCCCATAAACCAGTTACTTGGCCTGACGTGGATTGAAGCACAATTTGCTAATTCCTACTACCAGATCCGCCCCTCACATCTTAGAGGTTACGTCTACATAATGTTCTTTTGGTTTTGTTCCCCATTATCTAGAAATGTGTGAATATTTCCCCTTGGCTTAAGGAAGACCCAAGCAATCTGAAGGCTGGTTGAACTGCAGTCTATCAGCTTAGAATAGGCATCATTCCTCCTTGCTTCATCCTACATGGGTATATTTTATAGCTTTTCCTTTAGATTTCCCAGTTTTCACACTACACAGGTGCTACACAAAAGAATCTTTTCTCCTTGATTTTTCTCATTACTGGAATGGAAGGGATGGAAGATAGTGGATTACTGAAGGGGAGAAACTCAAGGGGAAATGTCCCATTTCCGATTTCTAGTTGTGAAAGTCCTCCGGTTGCAGACAACCCAAGCTCACCAGGCTGTGTTGTCAGCAGCTGGAGCTGTAGGAAGTGGCGGTTGTTGCCCATTGCAGAGGTTTTATTTTCACATTCACTTCTCCCACAAAAAATGAGAAAAGCATGGCCCTTGGAGATCACTCAACAGCATTTGTCCAGGTGTCTGAACCTCAAAATGCTGTGCATTATGTATAACACAAAAGGGCAAAGTCTCCACCAAGTTGCTGAGGTCCCTTGTGCGAGGACCACAAAGCATGAACTTCAGCCCCACCGCCATCAGTCTGGAGGCTATCAGTCTCACCCAATTTTCCTATTCAGAATTGGAAAACACAGCATCTTAAACATTCATTTAATAGATGGGCCTAGGAGAGTGAAACAGATAACTTTACCCCGCTTGTCTCTTTCTTTTCCACCATCTTACACCTGTCTCAGTTTAAGTCATTGTTTTGAGTTTTAACCCTTTCCAAATTAAAAGAAAACTTCCCTCTCCTATCTTTGTGAATGTCTCTTTCTCTGATTGGATAGGTAGAAATTGCAAACCTCAGCTTCTTAGAGAGAGATCACTGAAATAGTACTCCAGTACCAGGACTGGCTGTACTGAAATTTCTGAACTCCAAGTACTTGTCTCCCAGGTCATAACTACCTGCTTCAGGTCTCAGCCTGATTCAAAAAAACAGGTAAGAGGGCAGAATGCTCTGCAGCAGGATGTGTTCATCTGAAGTTATCTCCAGAGGTTTGTGTCATACTTACGAAATATACGTGCAGAAGAAAAGTACTTTTAACTTAAGAGCTTTTTCTGAAAAGTTAACATATTGCTCTTTCAAAGCATACGTTTGTATTTGTCCTAGGAGTTTAAACTTGTGGGCTGTTTCATTTCTTTACGTTGGCAGTTGTCAAGCTATTTGCTATTAAACTTGAGCAAGAGCACCACACAGTGTCTCAAGAGTAGAAGTGACATGCCAAGAGCTTAGCTGTGCATTCAGGAATTCTGCATGAAAATACTGAGAGGTGGCACGGATGCATCTTCCCTAAAAAGTAAAGAAATGACAAATAATATGGGCAGCTTATTCTACTGGAAAAATATCTTAGGAGAGGCAATGGGTTTGTTTCCTTATTAAAGGCTATTTAAGGCACATTTTCAATTCTTACAAGTGCATTCACATGCATTGAGTGTTATCTATATCTAAGTTGCTTCTATATAAATATATTATTGAATTCAAGGGTGGGTAAAGAAAAGAGAAATAACTTCCATACCAGAATATCTGTTTGGCATTCCTACTGTTAGTGGATTTAGTCTTAAGATTCAAAGTCTCTAGGATAATTCAGCAGAATGCACTTCTAGGCTCTCTTCTCTGCAAGTTCCCCATGTTCAGACAGAGTCTTCCATATTTTAACAGCTGGAAGCAATTACGATATCCACAAGCTGCTAAAACTTGAAGCAAAATTTCAGGCTTCTTTCCTCTAATCCATTAGAAGGGACCATAGGAAAGGGTGGCAGTGGTGGAGAGAAGGTCAAACCCATTATTTTCAACTATGGCAGGAAGGTCTCATGGGCTCCATTGCAGGACTTAAGCTTATTGGTTGCTGTTCCTCTTCCTGAAAAGTTTCTGTGCAACCACACAAAGGACACAACGCATGGAGACGACGGTGCAACTGTTCGAATGCTATCAAAGCATGCATGCTACCACTTCCCCCCTGGTGGCTGCTTCCCTAAACTATTCAAAGCTGATCAGGACACTGCTAGTTGCAGCTACAACCTCTTAATCTACTGGATCTACTTAATCTAGAACTGGAACCAGTAGCACTCTGAAATGGGTAAGCTAATACTAGACGCGGTCTCTTTCTCTCAGTACTGCTTATCCTGAATTTCACCGATTCTCAGACATCATTAGCTCTGCATTATCCGAATGTTGCTTCCATTAGCTCTCAGACACTGATTCATGGATACCATTATTGCTCCAGGTGTTGAGCAGAATGCAGATCAGTTTGCCAGCATTCGCCACATGGTCCTCTCCAAACAGACTGGACTATAACTCACAACAGCTTCCCTGCTCCCCACATGGCCAGTTAGGTTGGCTCACATGCTGGGATTTAAAGACCAAAAATCTGGATGGGCAGCTACCAACTGACTTGTAAATATCAAGTCATGGAAATCTGAGAATAACCATTCATGTTTTGTGTTCACTATAATTGATCAACAAAACAGTTTTGGTGCAAATATGTAAGTATCTGACATACAGAAGTATAACAGCTGTAATATATTAGGCAACCATACCCATTGGTTCATCAAATTCTCAAAATATTATTCCATTTGAGATGTCAGCCTTTTTAAAATGCTACTTGAATAAGAAAACTTTCAAAAATCTACAATCAACACGGTTTTTAATTTAGACATTTCATACTTTGATAATACAATAAAAATAATAAGCACTGAGACATAATGCACCAAGATAAAACCAGCATTTTGCAGTCACAAACTTCATTTCTATTGCGTGTTGGAGATAAGGGAAATGATTAAATACCAAGGGCATTGGACTGGAAGGATCAGTGTCTATTGGAAGCTTCATCAGGTGCAGGAATCAAGAAATCCAGTGGTCAGCATGGCGGAAGCAAACTACAGAAATACCAAGTTGGCACTAATTATATTCCTCCCATCAGGATATCATTCAACATGGTGTATCTGCTCTCTTAATCAAACTTTCCTGTCCCTGTGGCACCACTTCCATGGAAGCACCAGAGGCTTCAAGGGAGAATGGAACCACTTCATCCGCAGATACTGTTTGGGCCATGGACGGACATCATTGGATGACACTGTGTGTGTGTGTGTGTGTGTGTGTGTGTGTGTGTGTGTGTGTGTATACATGAATGTGTAAATAGACATTTTGGGGCACAGCTGTGCATTTTGAGTGGTCATTACAGTTTGAAAGAGGGAGGGAGATGTGCTGTCTCCCATACAAGTATACTGGAAGTTTCAAAGAACTGAGGGCTCCATCACTCCAGGTAAGCAAAGGGCCTTTGTTCTTAGTGCCCCACAGTCTGCCAGTCAAACTAAAGATATCCTGAAATATTGCTCTAGAATCTTGTGTCATTCCCCAGGAATTTTTTAAATTGCAAATACCAGCTGATATCAGACACCTGAATGTCCTCCATTCATGTTGAGTTCTCTCACCTTTAAGGTTAACAGATTCTTTGTTTCCCAGTTCAGCTGCTGTAAGGCCCCTTGGAATAAACCTTACAGCTTCAGCTGGAGTTTAAACACAGAAACAGAAAATCTCTTGTGTAAGACATGATTCTTCAAGTCTAGCTCCACAGCCCCTGTTGTCTATACCCAATGAGTGAGGAGAGAGGGGCATGAAGAAAAGCAGACCATGAGTCATCTTGGATTGTTCAAACCAGAAGAACATGGAGATGCATGTTATCCTACAACACAATAACGGTTGTGGTGATGCTAGCGGAACATGACAAATATGAACAAACAGCTAATGAAAGACAAGAGGTAGTCCAGTTCAAGTTGATGCCAAGCCTGAAACAAGAAGGCCCAATTCATCCAAAGCAATATCCTGTTTCTCTAGTCTTCCGGTGACAGGTGAAGTTACAGGATAGAATGAATCATACCAAAATGAGATATTCAGTCATGGTGCAGATGAAGACAGGTTCTAACCAAGACTGAGCCAACACTTCCAAAAATGTCTAATCCTGCCCTTCAATGGCTGCACAGTGAGAGTTATATTCTGAAATGAATTCTTACATCCTTGATTTCATTCACGGATGGTCTTTCTACTGAGAATTTCTGTGAGCCATGTGTCAAACATGCCTATTACAAGCTCTTCATGATATTGAAGTCTTCTCAGAATCAAATTTGTACAATTGCTGTCAGGAAGGCAATGAGAAATGCAATGTTGCCACAAATGTAGAGGAATAGCACTGTCTTTTTAAATGTATGACCCTAGAAAGAAGAGAGAACAGAAAATGTGAAGGATTATGCGTGCTTGTGAAACCATCCAGCCATTTCTAACAAGCCATGCCTATAGTCTTCTGGATTTGCATTGCTTGGGAGAGAGAAAAGTGGAAACAGTATTCAGAAAGTTACCCCATGTAGAAAGATGCACGGGAGTGAGTGGGAAACCAGAGTAAAGTCTGCTTTCTAGAAGAACAAGGAACATACAAAATGCAACCGGAAGATGTTGTCATTCTTAGAAGGCTGTTCCATGTTCAGAAAAACAAACAAACAAGCATCTCTTTCTCTCCCATGCAGGCACATATGCACAAACAATATTTACCTGTGCTTCTGCAGTGGTAACAGACTGTAAAATTTGTATCCTGTCATCTTCTAGCACTTCAACTGTAACACAGAAGTATCATTAGAATTCTATTCTAGAGGACACATCAATTTTAGTTACTGGCTATTTACAAGTTTAGCTTAAAAAAGGTGTATGTCACATGTTAAGACACCGAACCATTTAACAGTGGCTGGTCTATTTAAGCCAGAGGTGAGTGACCTGTGGCCTTTTAGAGGTTTTGGTCTACAACTCCTAACATCTTTCACTGTTGGCATGCCTGGCTAGAGTGATAGAGTTACACAACGAAATACATGGAGGGTCGTACACATGGTAAGCATGTTGTGAGTGGAGCCGGCTTGAGCTGGGGGTCAGACTAGATGGCCCAGGAGACCCCTTCTGACTCGCTCTGTTTCTATGAGGGTCACAGGTTGACTATTCTCTGACTAAGCATATCTAAGCTTCATCCAACTGAGCTTGATCCAACAATTCAGAACATAAATGGCCACTCACAGGATTGCAGAATCATAGAATAGCATAGAATATTTCCAAGGCCATCAAGTCATGCTTTGGTTTATTCAGGCACCCCATGAAATTAGTGCATTTTGTGTCAGTAAAGGAGGTGGGGGTCAAGCCCCTTTCTTTGCAGTTGTGATTTGAAATATGGGATGCATTTTATTTGTCACAGCACACGACACCCTAACTGAGGTAAGTTTGAGAGAATCTTGTGCCATGAAAAAGTTGTAACTTCACAGGCAGCAGAAGAGTTGGCCAACACTGGTTGGTTGGAACCACAGGAAAGTGTATATGTTTTCTCAAATGACAGTTAAGTTGCCTGTGACAAGGCAGAATGCCTGCCCCTCTAACCCTGTGAGGTAGACACCCTTCAAAAGTTGAGAAATGGCTGCTTTTTAAAAAGTGAATGATAGATAACTACGATTTATCAAAATCCTCAGAATAATGAATCCCCTTACAGAGAAAGGCCCCTGAGATGCCAGAGCACAGGTTAGAATTACTTGCCTCTTTGCCAGTCGCCCAGTCTTGCTCAAGGTGATACCTGAATGTACATATTTAACTTAAGGGCCAGGCCTGGGGACATGATGGATCAGCTTAGATATGCAGTCCACCAGCTACTTCCCCGAGATGACAACTGGGCTCATGTAAATTAGTGATCATGTGTACCTGGAACATCTGCCACAATTATCAAGGTGGGAAACCCAGCTGGTAAGAAACACCTGGTAAAGCTACTCTGAAATATTTTAAATAACAAAAGTCAAGTGCTTTAAGAACCATGAAGAGCTGAGAGGTCAGTCACTTGTTACAATTACAACTACAAACTGGAGTAGTATTGTTAGTACCTTTGCGAATGAGGCAATAGCCATGTATCTCCAGGATAAGATCAATGCCAACATGCCAAGCTACAAATCCCAACATTGTATAGGTATCCCATGGATCTGGAAGGTTGAGAGCAGGCAAGTCCATTCCCATGAATATTGTTATCACTAGTTAAAAAGAAGATCAACTTTACATGTTTGTTATCTTCATGCAGCAACCAAATAACTGAAAAGCAGATCAGGGAACTGCACTAGCAACAAGCAGTACTCTCCTACATGTTTTTATTACCGAGAAATATTTAAGCCCTTCTATGGAAGGAATGAGAATAAACTAGAGCCCCATAGGAGTCCAGGCTTCCTGGGCACATCTATAAAGCAAGACATTTCACATTCCCCACATCCCCAGAATCGTATTAAGACCCCAGTGTAGACTCACTAGACCATGGGCAGTATCCACTAGCGGCTGTGACCTACACATTGTTAGGCCAAAAGCAACAAGTAAGAGTGAAGTAAGAGTGAAGTTTCCATATTAGCTAAAGGCAAGTTGCACAAACATATGAATCTGTTGTATGTTGAGTGGGTGCAGGTTGAATGTGGTTTATCATGTTGTCTGATGTCTACTCGTGAGGAAGAGGCAGGAGTTAACAGTGAGAGTCAGGCATTGGAACAAGGGGACTTATATTTGAGGCCCAGTGCCCAGACGGCCCCTCTGCAGCCTGACTCTGAGACTGCTGAGCAAGTAACCTCTCCACAGCCTGACCCCTTAGCCCCTGAGTGAATAGCCTCCCCGCAGGCTGATGGGGAGGCGTCTGAAAGAGTAGCTTCCTCTCATTCTAGCACTGGGCTGCCTGAGCAAGTTACCCGCCCCCGCCCCCCGGCTCCTGACTCTGAAGCTGCTGAGCAGAGTTCAGGAGAACAAGAGGACATGATGGGGAATTTGGCATGTGCCCAAATTAGGAGGGCTTTAAGGCGACAGGCCCAATTATGACGACAGGACAGAGGTCTGTCCCACCCACAAACAGAAAGACGAGACAGGAAGGTCTGATGCCACGTGGTCTCCTGATGTAGCTCAGAAAGGAGGGAGCAACTGAAATGTAAGGGGCTTGTTATTGGAGCTTATCAGTCACATCGTAAATCTTGTAGTGAATAGCAATAAAAGTCTTTAGCTTCTCTGCCGGCTGCTGTGTGAGTTAATTGGAGATGTGAGTTACGACCTCACGACAGATAACAAACCATGGTGAGCAAGCACCATTAACAACCCAACAAAAAACCATGAGTTTTCCTTCATGGGTGATCTGCAGTTAACAAGCTGTGCCTTATTAGACAAGCTTATTATTAGACATGGCTTATAATAACAAGCCACAGCTTCAGACAACACAATCACCAGCATTTCAACAACAACCCACAATTCAACCACAACCTATACTCAACCCTTGAGTGTGAGATACTATGTTGTCTGAACCTAGTAATTGCTTTTCCTAGAATTTCGGGGTGGGGGGATCATTATCTGCTGTTCCCAGCCATCTTACAAAACCAACTTTGAGACAAAGTTGGATTGAATTATTCACTCACCAGCTAATATTCTAGCAGTTGTGCCAGTGCTCCAGTGTAACCAATTGAAGATTTGCCTTCTGTTTCCAAAGGAAGAAAGAAAGAATATATAGTTTGAAACATTGAAGTAAAACAGCAAGAGAAGAGATCTAGGCCATGGGACTCAGTGCATCACTCCTGAGGAGACCGTCAATGGCCTGAGAGTAGTAATGGAGCAAGCCCTTCCACACCTTCTCTGAGGTCACTAAGCCCTGTGTGCCTTGAGTTAAAATGGAGGAGAAGCTCAGGCTGCCACTGGTTCAAAAAACGTATATTTGGTTTTTTGTTTGGTTTTTTTTTTGGGGGGGGAGTGTTGGTCAGGTGTGTTTCTTTCAATATTTAAACAGTGTAAACAGCCTATGGAAGAAAAGCAGTATAGAAATGTATTAAGTTATACACAAATAGGGACCTTAGCACACAAATGCATTTTCATTAGTTAAGACTTTTCTAACTTTGGGATCTACAGAAATTCTTAAGGGTCTGCACATGCTTCGTTTCTATGCCTGTAGCCATACAATCACTATCCTTTAAATGTAGGGTAGTGATGCTTAGTCTTCTACATGTTTTGGCTTATAGTTCACACCATCCTTCCCCATCATCTAGGCTCACTAGGATTGATGTGTGTTGTAATCCAAGACTTTTGGAGGACCATAGGCTGTCCATCCCTGCTTTAAACCTTCCAAGCAAGCTAGTAACATCCTCATAATCTCATCAAGAAACATTTACGCCATTTGCTTTCACAAAACGCAGGTACCTTGGTGCTTGGGGAGGTGGTCTGAATCCTGCCATGATGGGCTGAAAGATTGCTAGTGCCATCACTGTGCAGCCAAAGTATGGATGAAAACCTGCTTGCTAGATGAAAGATACCTTTAGTTATCGATCTGCATTCTCGGGGATGCAACTTTTTTTACACCACCACACATCATGCTGCAACTGGGTAGTTCTCTAGTACTTCTTTAACAGAGAAGGCTCTTCACGTTCTTAAATGCTAAGAGACAATTTCCTATGCTTTTTCGGTTTTAACTTGGGGTTGTATCTCGCTTAATGACCCAGTGTGCTATGGATGGAATGTCCCTGTTTTGTTTAATGCACCGGAAGGAGGTAAGTTGTCAGTGGTCGGCACTCTTGGCTCCCAAATCATTCATTTAACTGTGCAAACTGGGACATGTGCCCATGAACTTTACTTTCCACTTCCAAGTAAGCAATCAGGATTGGGTGAAAATATCGTATACTTTACCATATTAAATGTTCCATGTTTTAAAGCACTAACAAAGCCAACACCTAAGTTAGGCTAACATTTAGACCTAATTTCCTGAACTATCAAATAGATAGATTATAATGTTCCAAAATTCTCTCACTCAAGGTGGCAAGAATTAAGCTGCAAAATAATTACTCCTTCCAACTATATCCACACAGCGTAAGCCCCACCTTCAAGGACTTCAGCACTGGACAGTGTTCTGAATTTTGCTCCCATGTGGCAGCCAAAATGATTGTAATACAATCATGCAAACACACTAGGGCATTAAACACATAAACCAGAGACGTAGTGTCATTACGGGATATGATTGATTCGTTCATTGAGATTTTAAAAAAAGGGTAATGTCTGAATACCAAAACTTTAATTAAAGCTATTTAATAGATTATAGAGGGCAATTATTAGATTTTAAGCAAAATTAACATTTAAAGCTAAGCAATTTCACTTACTTCACTCCAACCTCCACGATAGACAAAAGGAAGAATAAAAGATGCACTTGTAAGCAACACAGTTGTCATCATTAGCATGCGATGAACCTATTGTTGAAATACATTTTTAAATAGTTTCCTTCAACAGCAATTGCATACTGATTTTTATAGAAGCTCTAATATAAAGGAGCATTTCATTTTTTTCATTTATTACAAAGTGCCAGAAACTTAATCACTTCAGTATAAAACTGGAATATAAACACTTGTGGAATCACAACAGGACTTAAGAGGAATCTTCCCCATGGCACGAGAGACAGCCTGTTGTGTTTCATTTCTTTTCTCACCTGAAACCAGATCTCTCTTCCAAACAGCAATGAATTGGGCCACACAGGTTTGAAATATCGGGCAACAATTACACCAATGCTTACAGTTGCCATCCAAGCAACAAACATTAATGCACCTAAAAGAAAAACACAATTTATTTGCAAATGGGTTTCGGTACAATGTCAAGTGACTTGAGATAAAAGACACACCTTTCAATATTCATTGTAGACATTCAAAGAACATTCACACAACAACAAGAAAACACACATTCATGCCATTTATATTACTTTCACTGCCAGCCTAAACTATCAGATGCTAGCCTTGCAACAGCTTCTTCTAGAAGTCTTCTTCAAGTCTGCACACCGTTTTTCCTTTGAGAAGATGTGCCCAAGAAACCAAAGTATTTGCAGTAGGAAAGGAAAGATGTTTCCTGTAAGGTTTTTCCTCCAGTATGTTTCCCCACATCCCTAGCATGCTCCAGAGCCAAACCCCTTCCTTAGAAGGAACAGGAGAGCAAACAAAGCCATCACATTTTGCAAGAAGTCTAGGACAGTTTGCCTATTACAAAAAGATTGGCAAAAAGATTTAACTACACAGGCTACAAGTCATTGCACAGCAGGAAGCAAATCTTGTTCTCACCCATTCACCTAAACACAGCACAGCATGAAAACTTGCCATGGATCTTGATGAGAAACGGTGAGCGAGATCCTCCAATATCCTTCAGCAGTCCTGAAATATTATACTTCGCATTTGTGATCAAAGGTTGTCGGTGGTGTTTTTGGATTATACCTCCTGCACAAGAGAAGCAGTAAACTCTACAAAGGAAGAATGAGGTGAAGCGAGGACTCCAATTGTGTATGCAGGCCAGGTGTTTTATGCAGTTCCAGCTTTTCAGCCAACTTGTTTTAACCTGCAATTCCCACCATCCCCAACCAATGGCTATGATGGCCAGGGATGATGGGATTTTTAGGCTATTGTTAATATTATTTATACATTTTATTCTTTGGCCAGGGCAACTTAATTTATATTGTTAATTTATATTATTCTATTTTGAAGTTTATTTATGGTTGTGAGCCGCCCCGAGGCTTCGGTGAATGGGGCGGCATAGAAGTCTCCCAAACAAACAAACAAATAAATACACACACACACACACACACTTTGAGGGACACAAGTCATCTAACTCTGCCACAATATGATTCTACAAAACAATGTACATTATCATCTGCACCATTAGGGTTTGTCCTTTGCTATGAAATAATGAACTAGTTTGCTGAAACAAAGACTCAGAAACATGCACAACTAGAATTTCACCTATGGCCTGGATCCAGATGCCTCAGAACTTCTTCTAACTGCTGGCAGTCAATCTATTAATTTCAGTTGACACGCATATCTCAAGCCCAAGGACAGAGATCAAAAGGTGCTCAGCCTTGTGTGTGCATGGGAAAAAGGGTGTGTGGAAGAGGTTGTTCAAGGACACCAACTTGAGAAGGACTGCAATTTCAATTTTTATAGGGAAAAAAGAGGCCATATACCTCAGTGAACTGGCTGGCAAATGCAGCACATGGCCCCCCTCTTCAAGTTTTTTATTCAGCTATTCATGCGTTGCTCTGTCATAAATTGCTGAGCAAACCTGGACCACTGGGGGGATTTTCAGTTTATATGCTATTGGCAACAAAGTTGTTTAGGGGCTAAGCAACCCAGCAGGTAACCTATGGTTTATTGTTAAGTAAAGTGTGAGGTTGTTTTGACCCTGCCCAATGGAAGGGAAAATAAGTACACCAGCTCCAGGCTGGGAGAATTTTTCTTCTTGTTAGATGCACCCTTTTTTAGCCACTACATCTGTCAGAACCGTAGTGGCTGAAAAGTGAAGGCAGAAGGGTTTTCCACCACCCAATCTAGGAAGCATCGATTGACAGTCCTCCTTGTCCCACAGAGCTCTCTCTCCGCCTATGGAGAGAAAAGTATCCTATTTCCTCCTAAGGAACACAGGACTGCATCCATGGAAACCAAAGTGGTATAAGCATTTGGACACATCTTATCTGACTGCGACAGATACAGACACATTTGAAACTTTACCTTCACCAACTTCACCATCTGCCATAAATATGTAATAGCTGGCATCTAGCTTAAACCTCCTTTTAGAAGAAGGAAGATGAATTCTTCTTTTGAAAGAACACTGAATAACCCCATCAGCCAACCTCCATGACTTCTCTTCCAGAGCATCCTGAGAAATAAGCAATATAATTTAGGACTGATGCCTCAAAAACTGAACCACCATAAACACTGATTTTCTTTTTTAGATGACTCCAGGCTGCCAAAGTCTTATAGGCCACAATTTTTAATCTTTGGCAGCAGAATGAAATCGCCCAACCCAAATAGTTTTTCCATTAGTTGCCTTTTAAAGAAGTGGTTGTTGAACAAAACTGAGAAATGCATTCCAGGAAAAACCTTGTTTCACGATCACCACCAACAGGGATCTTGGCACCATTCAATGAGAACTACACTGATTCTGAAAGAATGGTAACCCAGCAGCTCTTGTGACCAAAAGCATTCAATTTGGTGGTGGATAGGTTAGGGTTAGGTTAGGGTTATATATCTCTGAACGAGGATGGGGCAGTGAGTTTCTGAATACTCACAACTACAGAAGAAAAACTGTATAGCAAACACATTGGGCAACACTGGGATCTAGAAATATTAATATCACAAGTAGTCTTTCCTCTCATCCCCTTCCCATTTGTAAAGCCCAAACAGAAAATAGAATAGTAAAGGATATACACACTGCAGAAAGACTTGAAAGAAAACTCTATAGAGGCCAATTAGTCAGTCAGTTACCCTTTTTGTCCAACAAAAGTTTCACTGCTATGACAAGGGTACATAAACATATTAAATCCAGGACATAATAGGTAAGCCTTGCATGATATGTGTACATGCAGAAGGAAGCCAGATACTGACTGAAGCTTGCTGTCACTCTGTACACACGCTCTTGTCTCCCCATGGTCTGTGAAGTTTGAATACATCATTTGATTGCACAGAAATGTAGGCGGATTGGGACAAAGGAACAGTTAAAAATTAAGTGCTGGGCTGCAGGCACCCACCATTTTTATTTCTAAGAATGACTCTGGAGCCCATGTGGAGACAGAGACAGTGGTTGTGAGTGCTGCTTTGCAGCATGCTTGCCTCCCACTTAAAAACTGGTGGGTACCAAGGGAGATATCTGTGGTTACCCACAGGCATGGCACTGGAGACACTAAACTTACTGCTCACAGATAAGATACTTTGTAGCATTCGTATGGCGAGATCAGCCTTAAGATTTAGAGAGAAAGTCCATCAGTCAGTCCATGGAATTTTAATACCTCTGAATCAAACTCTGGATAAGCGCGTCCAACCAGAGAGGCTGTACTGATGTCAACGTAACGATTTTCACTACCGCAGATATATGCATCATCACCACCTCCCTGCAAATAAAGTCAAGAGATTTGATAGATTGCATTGCCAAGATATTGCACCCTCCATACCTATGCAGGACCTGATTATGTAGCCAAGACAAAAAAGGTTGTAGCCTCTCCAGCCTTCACATGGGCTAACCATCTTGCAGCCCATTCAATGAAGTTCTTATTGAGTAACCCCAGAACTATCACAGCCGTTCAGGTTCAGACTTAACACACAAGCAGAGGGTGGCCATAATCTCTGGTAATGCAAGAGTGTGGGAAGCTGGTCAAATGGAGAGAGCCCCAAATATTTGTACCAACAGCCCATGCTGGCTCCATATTTTGAGGGTCCATGGGCAAGTTTCCCTCAATGGTCTCCCTCCTTCAGTGAGTCTACGTTCTCAGTTTCATAGTCTGCAGATACTATTGCTTCTCATCCTCTTCCCTTGCACTGATTGTTGACAGGTGAAGAGCAAGTGAGCGGTGGCATCTACTGCTCCTCCTCCTCCCATCGTCCAAAGCAAGAAGCAAGTGAATAAGCAGGTTTTTGAAGAGAAGAATAAATTCCAGGGGGTTCTTGCTAGTGGGCCCCTGCTAAGGTGTGGACCTCAGCAGGAGCCCAACCTTGCTTCCCTTGACATCTTGCTTTGCACTAGCCTACCCACCAACCAAAACTTAGCATGTTGACCATTATACCATGTACCATCTTAAATACTGACTCACTGGTGCAAATAGCACCACTGCATATTCATGGAGCTCAACATTCACATTTCCCACAACAAACTCATTGAGGGATATTCAACTCACCCCCAGTTCCCTTGCTCAAGCATCTCTATCGTAGTTTTAATAATTAATTCATAATGCAACTAGGACCAGAATATTATACCATTTTCTCTAGACTGGAAAGGAGATTTGATTGCAAAGTCAAACCATCCATTACTAACCATCCACTGATCATGAGACAATGTGAATGCAATGTAGCCTTCACTGGGACCACTCATTTCAACCAACACTGTGTCATGATCTCGTGTGAAGGACAGAAAAAAGCAGGTGTTCTCTTGAGGATCACAGTTTGAAGGGTTTCTCACACAGAACTTTTTCTTTCCACAGTCTGAAGCATTGAACTAAAGAGACAAGAAGGCAAGTGATGTTACTTAACAGACTGCTGCAAAAATCAGTGCTTTTTCAGAATGCCAGCTAGTATAGTTGCAAGCTGTAGTGCAAACACATTTCTCACAACCACAAATTTTACCTAGCAATTATAGTCCTTTCCCCCCTCATAATTAAGCTGCAAGCCTCAAATCCACATTCCTGGTACCTGACATCACAAAGCTAGGAGTCTATAATTTTGGATTCACATACTATCCCGCTCTTGTCCAAGTCAGACGCTGAATTGTTAATTGTTCAAAATTGCATTAAAAGGAATGTAATTAAAGGCTTTGTGAATCACCACAAACTGTTCTAGATAATTACGCAAACTCCATAAAGCTTTAAGTGAATTTTTAAAAATACACAGGGGCCTCCTTCTCACAGAATAGATAAGAAAATTGTGTTTGTTTTGTAGGAGACTAAATACAAAAAGGGCAAAAAGTGATCACTATTCCAAAAAGGTCACCCCGAATTACCCTCAAGTTATTGTTGAAGAGACAACAATAACTAAGTTTCAAAAATGGCAAGAATGAGTTAAGGCTTAGGAATCAGTAAGACTTAAAATCTAGATAGAATGAGAATTACAAGCCAAAATGTGATCAGAAAGAATTGCATCAGATGACTAACTACTAGGAACTTCATGAAGAGGACTAGAAACTTTTTTTTTTAATGTCTCCATGGGTTCAAATTTCTGCATTTTCATTTTTTTTTTTTTTTGTTGGCCTGGAGATTAAAACTTCAGTAGAAAAACTGAATCTTAAACTTAAGATTTCAGATCAACTGTGTCTGAAATTACAGCAACAAGTTGTAAAGATCTTAATGCACACTATCCTTCTGACTAATACAAAATTCATGTGACCAGATTATGGAAAGTCCCAATCTGCTGCACATGTGCACTGGGGGAAAGAGAGGGCGGATCATAGCTGCCAGGAAAAGTGGTGCTAGGTACCTAAAGTTATCTGTTTTGCATATGTAAATGAAAATATATGTGCATAATTAGGAATAATTATTATAATTTTTGAAGGCAAGCTAATTAAGCTCTTGCTTGCTTTCAGAATAGAACTGTGCAATGGTCCAACTTGCACCTGCCTAAAACTTCTCCATGCACCCACATTTTTTCTAGGTCTTTAAGACCCAAATCCAGATGGGGAGCCTGGAGTGCCTGGAACCACCAAAGAGCTATATGGTACCGTAAGCATTGCATATTGAATATGGTTAACTGGCAAGGGAAAGTGTAGCAATGTATTGTAGGCTATAAATAAACCATGTTCTTACTCTGCAAACTTGACACAAGTACTTGGGAGTTATCCTTGTTAAATTTAGTGGGATTTACCTGACTCACACTTCCCCCACCTCCCTTCACCAACAAATGCAACAACACTGGACAGAGACCACAGAACTGGACAGGGTTGCTTGCGCCTCTTGGTCTGTATACCAGGTAAGGAGGAAGAAAGAGCACTACCAAAGATAGCTTCCCGTTTAATGTATTTGAGGTATTTTGTAGCTTCTTGGCTTGAGGAAATGTTACAAAAATCTTTGGCATTTAAACCTGAAGTTTTCTTATTAGGTATTATACCTGATGATGTTAGCAAACAAGCAATGTATTTGACTCTACATGTAATCACTGCGGTGAGGATTGCATTTGCCCAGCACTGGAAGAGTGAAGAGCCTCCTACCGATGAACTGATCCTAAAAAAGATCTTGGAGTGTGCAGAAATGGACAGACTGACTTTGTCATTGAAGGATAAAGAAGATACAGACTTCTATCAAACTTGGGACTTTCCTTATTATTGGCTAGAGAAACGGGTCTTTGCATAGATTTAAATAAGTTTATAATTTAACATAAAAAGAAAAAATGTGGGGGGCTGACCCAGTAGGTCCAATGTTTCCAATGATTGATGCTGTTTTTCGGGGTTTTTTGTGTGTTAGGTTTATTTAGAATAAAACTTATTCCAAAAAAAAGGTATTTTGTAGCTTCTGAGATTCTTGAACCCTTTAAAAAACCATTCTTGGGTTGTATTTTCCTGAAATCTCAAAATCTACCCCCAACATTGCAATATTAAGTTTCTAGCAACCTTATCATCCTACAACTTTCAAAGGGTACCAAAGTGTATAGCTGCATACCCCCTTATTAGAAAAACACAACATTCCTAACAAAGGCATTATGCAATTCCCGGAAGCAGCCACCCACCCTCTCTTCTCTCCAAAGGGATCCCAAGAGAAACAGAACGGGCAGTTGCTCTCAGTCAGCCACACTTTGGCTCAGGCTAAGGGCCCACCTGGCAAGCAGAGGGGAGACATTCTCCAGATAGCTAACGTGGTGGGGCAGAAAGGGGAGGGGGGGACACGTGATGAGGTCAAGGCAAGGGTTGGGATGCATGGACAGTGTGTGCCCTGCACTCTCCTGCCTCAAGCAGCAGGGATGCTTGTCCCGAGCCTGCAGAAAAAGAGGGAGACGAGTAACTAGATGCCTAGCACTTTCCCCACTGCAGTCTTAGCTTCCTTAAGACCACTTTCGATTAAAAGCTACTACAACTATACTTACTGGGTGGGTTAGATGAGGCACAAGTGAAGACGTTGGAAGGGTCCCAATGGTCGTTCTCAAAATAGGCGTATTTGGCTGGGAAATTATTGGTCCAGGAACTTTTACCCAAAAGATGCTATATTTTTCCACCACTGTGACTCTGAAGGCAAGACAAAAGACATGCATTTAATATCTGAATCAAACCTGTCTCTCACAGACTTCCGCATGCAGCAAGCCTTCTCCATCCTCCAGCCCAGATACTTCAGATGCTACCAATCAATGAGTGATCTCAAGTGCAATCCCTCTCCTCTACCTCTCATGGAAGAAAATAAAATGGACTGTCTTCCTGACCTGTCCCAAGAAAGAACTGTTGCAGAAGACAGCATAATTGAAGAAGTGGGGGTGCTACTGAACCATCTCTAATGTAGGGTGCTCATCAGAAGCCTCCAAGGACTGAGATATTCTGAGCATTTGCCACTCCTTCCTTCTCATGCACACATGTAATTATGCATGTGTACATGTAACAACAAAAGCAGAACAACAGGACCTTCGCCAGAAAGAACTAACAGCTAGCACCCAAACTCTAGGTCATGTATAGGGTTCAAAATGAAGTGTACAAAGAATTGGATGGCTCAGAGGCTGGGATGAGGATGGGTCAAAACTAAGGTTGGCCCTGGGGAAAGAAAACTTGGGGAACTTGACTGAGCTCCATCTAGTGGGCTATACATGACAGGAGAAACAGAATACTGAAAACAAGAGAAGGCCAAAGGGTTACCAAGGAATGCTGAGACCTGTTGGACTGGGGATGCTACAGTATTGGACCATATACTCTCCCTAGGCTTCAACTGGCCAATCCCAGAGGTGTCTTGTGCATTGACTAGCTGGGCAGTGGCTTGGCAATCAACAGGCATCTGCATGTTTCCATGCTTACACAGGAACACTCCCTTGTAATCTAATCAATGGAGGAAGCAGGTACACAATCACCTGACCCTAAAGCAACCTTCCAGAGCCTTATCATCATTCCTGGCAGCTTTCCCTACTGCTGCTTTTGGAACAAAAGGCATTCTTCAGCAGTGATGTCAGAGCAAGGCCAAAGAAATACACAGCACACAATAAACGCCTCTGCATGGAACATGTGCCCACTCCAGACAGACAGCAGGATGCTGGAAGAGCAACAGATGCACCAGCAATCAGGCAGACAACAGCAGTGCTTATTTTTAAAAAAAGCTTTTCGTTCATTAGCCCCACATAGACATTCAGCCAGCCCAGGTGAGGGCTAAAAGAGGGGTGGGGAAAAGCCAGCCCTGCCCACAACAGCCTAGGCCCACCTCTGACCAACAAATTCTAAAGGGGACTTCTACTTGTATTTTCTGTTGCACTCTTTATTTATCTATTTTTCGATTTATATCCTGCCTTTTTCCTACAAAGGGCTCAAGGCAGCTTGCATCTCCTCCTCCATCTTATCCCCACAACAACAACCCTGTGAGGTAGGCTGGGCTGAGAGTCTGTGACTGGCCCAAGGTCACCCAGTTGGCTCCATGGCTGAGCGGGGACTAGAACCCAGATCGTCTGAGTCCCAGTCCCACGCTCTTCACCACTACACCATACTGGCTCTTATCACAGAGAGTTCAACCCAGGTATTCAAGTGATTGGAAGCCTCACTTCAAATCCTGCTGACAACACAGTAAGGTCAAGATCAAGGAGGCCAGAACATCAGCCGTGGGACTTGCATGCAACCTCACCTCACAATGCTTGTAAACACCAAAAAAGCCAAGCCTAGCCTAGCCTAGCCTAGCCTAGCCTCTGCATTCAAAACAGAAACAAGTTCAAGGCTTTTTCCATAGCAGTATTGCAAAATTCTGGGTCTATACTTTGAATGGAGATTAAATTAAGGACAGATGAAGTACTTTTAAGACATACTTACAAAAATTGTATTCTTTTTGGTGCATCTCTAGGAGCAATCCAATAGGCATCCAGATGGGTTTTCTTAGATTTGCTTGTGTGACTGACAGCTGAATTCTACAACATTCAGAAGCTCTCTTTTAGCACCACACAGAGGGATTTGCTTAAGTTGCTCTGTTCATACATAAGCTAAATAGCAAAAGTGGCTTAACACTATCCATATTTTAATATTTAGTTGCATCGTAGCCTTTTGACATCATAGCTCAGTGTCAGTTTGAAGAAAATATTTTCCTGTTGGTGCCAATTTCCTCTAGTGCTATCCTACTCTAGAGCAATAGTGATTTGCCCCTGGGCATCTAGTGATCATCAAGGCCAAGCAAGGTTCAACTACAGCTTCCACCCACATTTAGCCAATAATTATCACTGATACTAGTAAATTCTTCAAATAAGTCTAGTTTACACTTGGGATTGATGTGCAACAAATAACCCAACTCTAAAGAAGCATTCCCAGAATCAGAAGTGAAAGACAGTCAGACAAAGTAATGCATTAAAAATTCTGAAAGCAAATTCTAAACACAATTTTTGAAAAAGGATAAGAGACCAAGAAATTCATTACACTTTTCTTCTTGTATTTGAATGCATTTTAATACACAGTCCTTTATTCCCAGACAGCAAAATTGATCTTACTCTGAAGTCAACCAAGAAACTCTAGTAGAGGCATCAAGATTGATTCAGGGATCAATCTGGCCTGCCAGGTCATCTGGGCTGTGGGCAAGGTACTTCCTCTTCTCTGAAGTCCTAACCTCCCAGAAAGGAGACAGGGTGGGTGAGTGACTCAGCCACAGCTCAGTTGTTTCACTCTTTCTTTTCCATCCCAACACTAGGTTGGACTCCTGCCAGTTTATCAAAGTGCTGGTGGAGTCTGCCTTAGTTCATCCTGATACTCTCTGCCTGAGGAACATAAAGCAGCAGCAAACTTTGGTGGGATCCATTCTACCTGAGCAGAGCAAGCCTGACTCACTGACTGATTTACCTTAGTCTGGCAGTCAGCTGCACCCACCCACAACTTTCCCTAGTTGGAAAAAAACTGAGGAAGGGAGAAGCAGTCTCCTGGGCTGATGCGCCAGCTGAGATCCAGCAATGTCAGAGCACGGGGTCCCACCCCAGGCATCATCCAACCTATAGGAGGTTCCAGGCACAGAGCAATCTGAGCAAAACGCTCTCCATTCCTGCTCTATCTGTAGGCATATTAGTCAGTAGTACTTAGATCCTAAGTTGTCCCTCCATCGTGATGGCACAGCGGGGGTGCAGCATTAAAGGCAGTGTGTCTCTGTGCCCCAGACAGAAGGGAATCCTCAGCACAGTCAAAAAAGAAAAAAAAAGGCAAGCAAGGGGGATAAGAATGTGCCAGCTTGGGACAGGATTCTGTTATCAGTGCAGGGCTAACAGTGGCCAAGCAGTCTGTCCTGGAAGGGGACAGAGCACAAAAGTATTTGTTCATGAAAGGAACCACCATCATAAAGCATGATAAAGTACCTATGAGCTTTACACCTGCTACTTTAAGCCTTAAAGTCTAAGGGGAATGCATTCCCATCCCAAAGAGGCTGAACACCCGTCTCCCCTGGTGGATGAACCAACAACAACAGTATCTCCATCTTTCAAGGATGAATTTATAATCCAGGCTCTGCATACCAATGCATATGTTAGGATACGGTTTAAAAAATGCATTTTTGGGAAATACATATTTAAATATGATTCTTTCATGCTAATTTTTAAAAAATACTTCAGAAATGGGACAAATTGATTTATGAACATATCCAAAATTAACCTGGAGCAAAACCAGGCTAGTCCATCACTTCTGAACATATCAAGCCCAACATGGTGCAGAAGAACCTGAAGATCAAAGATAATGCTAAAATGACAGCCAGCCCAGATGCTATGAGAAGGGCAAAACAAAAAAATAAAAATCTTTTCAATTTAGAATCCCTTGAAGATAATGATGTTAGAACTAGTAACAGTCACTACCCACTTTCATATGGATAAACCAGCAGAGGGAGTCCTAATGTTCAAAGTTTGCCTAAAGGGAGAAAATTAGGCAAAGCTATATCCATTTTCATGATTTCCAAGAACAAACTTCCATACAGGTTGCCTTTGTTGACTATTAATTAAAAGCAAAATATTTAGAGACCCCCCTCCCCCAATGTTGGCGATTGGGCAGCACAGAAATTAATCAAACAAAAAGATAAATAAAGTCATGCTAGTATAAAACAGATATAAACAGGAAGGGAGAGGTATCAAAAGCTGACATAAGCTGCTGCTGACATTCTAATCAAGGTAGCAGTAGAGAAACCTGCTCTCTAAAGCCATCTCAAGGATTCAGGATTCCTTACCTTTGTGTGCCCACATGTGAGGAGCTGAGATTGTCTCTTGTCAGCCAGCACAAAAGAACCGATGGCAGGGTCCCCCACATTTTCAGCATTGCGGGCTTGTAGAAAAAACCCTTCAAACGGAGGCCCAGACAGACTCACTAAAGCCAGGCGGGTGGGAATAAAAACTAAATTAGTTTCCAGTTGTACTGGCAACAGTTGTATCGGCACTTGTAAGCCTCTTAGGAAAGCAGGCACATTTAACATCTTTTAGCTCACATATACAATGACCTTTATGGCTGAGGCATCCGAAAATGCTCCCTGAACCACGTCTTTCAGCTGTGCAAGTGCACATTCTCATGTAAGCACATACACGGCTACGCAGACATCATGCAGATCCCCCCGTAGCCAGGAAATGCCGCCATCACCCAGCCATCATTCCTATTCTAATTCCTCCCCACACCCTCCTTCAATTTCAGCTTATCCATTTTTCATTTCTTTACAGGATGGGTTTCCCCACTAATGACATGGAGTGGGGTCTTTGGACTCACACAAGAGCAAGTTATGATGGGGAATTGCTTTGCTGCTGTTTTTGATATCCACCCCATCACCCAAGCGTCTGAAGGAGGCATAAGTAAAGTGAAAGTAATAGTCCTTGGGTTCAGATGGTAACAGACCAAAAAATAATACCTTGCACATGATCGCCTGGTTTGAACTCTGTCACATTTACTTCAATTGTGTGCTTAGGAAGTTTCTGAGGTGAGTGTCCATGAAGAGGCATCATATTATTGCAGGCTTCTTTTACTTTTCCATTTGGGTAACCAGCTGATGGACCAGAAAGACACACGAGTACCAAAACAGCAAGAAGTATTCCAGAAGATTCCATCTATCAAAAACAAAACAAAACCACCAGTGAGTATCACAGCATTAAAAGAGTTCTAAATGTTTCTGCAAGTAGCAACTTTGCAAGTTTTTCTACACAAATCTCAGGTGCATTCTTCCTGCCATTCATTAATGACTTGGGACTGGGGGAAAATAAGGTTGTTTCTGTTAACCCTCCCACTTATTAAAGTCGTGTGTACCACACAGCATGATGGCCAATTTTTTTCCCCACAGACTTCATATTCTCCAAGGCAATAAAGAAAGAAAGCCACTGCCTGCCTCTTTCCTCCAGTTATTAATTTATGCCATTTTAGTTGTACTTTCTTCCAAGAAGCTCAGGGTAGCTTGCACGAGTTCTGCTGCTTATGATTTTAGCTCTAAAATAGCTCTGTGAGTTGGAGATAGCGCCTGTCCAAGGTCACCCAATAAGCACTGCGTCTCTTTGCAAATTTCAGCTTGGTTCTCTTCACTATGGTGGGGTGATTTTGAAGTTTTGGTCTTGAAATGGCTCTCTGGTTCCTTTGCTCATCTTTCTCCCATGCTCAGTGTGGACCAAGAACAGCAACCTGCAGTGCTCTTGTCTCCAAATGTGGGACATGGGGCACATTCCCTTTGCATACCTGTAATATTTTTTAAGTATCTAGGTACTGCCATTTAGCAACAATCCTACAATCCTATATATTTTATCTTCTGAATGGGGATTAGAACTATAACCGAAAAGAAGAACCAGTCTCATTCCCGCTTTAATATCATTGAAAGGCCATCCATTATAGTCACATCAAGTATTGAGAAATTATGGCAACAAATCTGAAGTCCAGATTTACTAAAACTTAATTCTAGAGAACAATGTAACCACTACTTAAACTTACTTTTTGTAAGCTTAGATAACTGTCTAAATGAACATGTGCTCCCTCAGGTTAGCACAGAGTTACTAAAGACATAATTTTACTTGCAACACCATTGCAACATCTATCCTGTACACCCTTCTGAGAGCACTTGCTAATTGAACAGTTTACACACTCCTTAAATAAATAAATAAATAAATAAATAAATAAATAAATAAATAAATCATAAGCATTGCATTCAACTGGAATGGTGAGTTTTGCCATTCTATTGTTTTTCAATGCATGTTACAGCCTGCCTCTTTCCGAATGCAATTTCTCTCTCTAGCCCTATCCCTTCTCACCAGTACGTATGCCAAGAAATGGAACGAGCTCAAAGCATCACCAACAAGCCCTCCTACCCCAGGCCATCCCAGAGCTGCTGCAAAAACATGGGATGTTAATACATTCTAAATACTGAACAACAGTATCGGACCTTTTGTACAAAGAGCATGAACAAGCCCAGAAACAGGAAGTGTGTTGCTTTGGCCACACAGGGGAGGGGTGGTAATGGGCCAGCCCTACCATTAGGTAGAATGAGGCAGTAAGGTGCTAGAGAAGAGAGATGCAGGCTATGTGACCTGTCTTGTCCTCCCTAAGCGGGCCTGAAGCCCTCCGGTGAGGTGAAGGATGCTGTCCCATCACCAGCATCGAAGGAAATACCAGCTACTAGTCCTGTGAGCTTTTGTTCATAGGATGGGAGGAGCCACCATTTTGCTCTTTGCCTCAGACAGCAAAATATATTGTGCTGATCCTGGATCTTAAACAGGTACGGATGCTGCTTATGGGCAGGATCGGGGCAACTGATCAGGGAGAAAAGACCTGAGGCAGAAAAAGCAAGAACAAGAAGCACAGATGTGAGATGGCACAAGAACACAACTTGCACAGGTAGCACACTAAGCAACAGACAAGAACTTTTTGGAGTGTATCCTTTGCCACCACACTCATGATAATGTTTGCCCAGCCTCTGAGCAAACATTGATTAAGTTCAGAAAATAAGCACTGCAGTCTTTGCCTACATTCAAGATCAAATGAGAGCTGGAAAGCTTCCAGCTGAGGCTTTCAGCATGTCATTGCCTTGGTTCATTCACAGAACGTTACAGCAAATCCAAACAATGTCTCATTTATGGCTCCCTTTTATTATAAAATAATTTCAGTGTGGGGTACAACTAATAACACACAGTGACATTGTATTGTATTAATTCAAAAACAGAAAAAAGGAAAAACCTGAACCAAACAGGAAAGAACAATAACACCAATTGATAACATTTAAAATAAATTCAGTGGAAAACTGGGTAAATTAATAGATGTTTAGCTGGCACCAGAAGCTTGTAAGACTTCTTCCATTCACACCCATCCTATGTTTTTCCACCCCTTCTTCCATTTTCTTTACTTGGAAAATCCATTAAGGAAAAAGGATGGAATCCCTTTGCAATGGTAGTACTAGAAGCACCTATGTCTGAAAGTACCCCCATTTACAGCCCTAAGCTCAAGTGGCATACCTGCATCACACAGAACAGATTCCTACCTGGTCTCACCAGTCTACCATCAGGTGAAATTTAGAAATACCAGCTCAAACCTGAGGAAATGGACAGGACTCACCAGGATCCTTGGCCTGGTGGCATCAAGGGGAGAGTAGAACAGCTGTACAAGAACATACTGTGGAGAAGAGTTTTCTTGGCTAAAACCAACCCTGCTTATCTTAGAAGATTAGGCTCTTCTCCGCAGAGAAGAGCTAGTAAGGTTCCTCCCAAACAAACATGTGGAGATCTTGATAATGGCCAAGCTCCACTACACAAACATACTGAAAACTGACTTGCTGTAGGAGACCACTGGCAAGAAGACCAGCTTGCTATTTGGGTCCCGACTTTTCATCTTGGAGTACTTGGAATAAATGAATGCTTCATGAGCGCCTACACTTATCATTGGCTAGTGAAGGGTAGGCAGTTCAAGAGCTCTCTAGATAGTCAAACATTTGTTGACACTCTGGAATGAGGCCCTTCGCTCACATTAGTAGCCTTAATGGAAGACTGTACTGCTCCGTATATACAAACAAAGAAAGATGTGCATTCTTATAGAATAGATGGCCACCAGTGACATCCACATTGCTCTACACAAGCTCTACATTGAACATGCTTGTTGCTGGCCATGAACCAATTCTCTCCCGTGTGCACACATAATTAGTGAGTCCTTTCTTGGCTTTCGGTTCATTTCCAAGGCCAGTTCACCTTTGCACATCTCCCTCTGAGTGCCCCCTCAATCTGTGGTGCAATGGGCAATCACGAGAGACGGTCTTTTTAGTGATGTCCGCCTAGTTATGAAGCACTCGAGAGAGAGAAGTTCACCTACGAGTAGCACCCATTTTATTGCCTTTTCTATAGTCATGGCTTTTAAGATCTGGTTGATTTAGGCCCTGGGCACTAATAGGACTAACTTTTGTATTGGATCTTTGTTTTAAGTTTCTGCTATCTGTATTGTATTTCTACTGTGTTGATTGGGGGTGTGTCGTGAGGTCATAACTCACATCTCCAATTATCTCACACCAGCAGTGAAACTAAAGACTTTTATTGCTGTTCACTACAAGATTTACGATGTGATTGATAAGCTCTAATAACAAGCCCCTTACAGTTCAGTTACTGCTTCCTTTCTGAGCTACCTCAGGAGACCACGTGGCATCAGACCTCTGTCCTGTCGTTGTAATTGGACTTGTCGCCTTAAAGTTCTCCTAAATTGGGCATTTGTCAAATTCCCCGTTAAGCCTTCTTGTTCTCCTGAACTCGGCTCAGCAGTTTGAGAGTCGGGAGCCGGGGGGCAACTTGTTCAGGCAGCTCAGAGCTAGGATGAGAGGAAGCTACTCTTTCAGACGCCTCCCCGTCAGTCTGCAGGGAGGCTATTCGTTCAGGGGCTAAGGGGTCAGGCTGTGGAGAGGTTACTTGCTCAGCAGTCTCAGAGTCAGGTTGCAGAGGGGCCGTCTGGGTTGCAGAGGGGCCGTCTCAAATACAAGTCCCCTTGTTCCAATGCCTGACTCTCACTGTTAGCTCCTGCCTCTTCCTCACAAGCAGACGTCTCTATCAAGCCATCAGGAACGACAGGGTGGAAGTCTGGTCAATTTTTACTATATTATTGCTATGTTTTAATCAATTTTGTACAGTGCTAGAGAACTTGGGCTTCCAATAAGAACAGTAAATAAATCTATTTTCAACCAGCCGTTCTTTGAATACAGATGTAAATAATCACATAAAGTTTCATATTTAAACTCTTTACAATGTAGAGTTTTAAAGAGATAAATTAGCTCAAAATTTTCTATGTAAAGATTTTTTAAGGGCATGATTCACTTAACTGTGGCAATCATCTGTGTGGAAGAAATGAGTTATTTGGAAGACAGTATTGGGAGTTCCCCTTGCAATGCACTCAGGTAGTTAACACAACGGTCACAACTGCATTTGAAGAATATTCAAGGATACCATAGGCTTAAATATCAGCTTAGAGACAGAGGAAAATGCTGAATATTATCACAGTAAGACTGGATGTAGAGTTGTGTACTTTAATTGTATTTTTAAAGTTTCTGTACTGCTCCTTCATCACCAAAGGCAGTCCCATGGCAGCATTATGAGCAGGAAAGGATTATATAAGAATTACAGATTTCCTGCAGGGAGAAGGTGGGATATAGGTATAACAGATAATTAAAATATTATGCAGAGCTGAAGCAAACTGAATCAGAAGAATGTGTATGAAGTCACATGAATGTGTGTGCTTCTTTATCAGTCTTTGCCAGTTACAGTAACATGAGGTCACACACAAGATTAGAGGGCGGATCCAACAACAGAAGATACGTTTAATTGCCACTTTAAGGGTTATGGTGAGCTCCTCTAATACAAGCACATATTTACATAAAACCCTCTTTGTTCAAGGATCTGCGTAGTAACATTGTCATCTTTTCTATCATCTGCCAAACTGCCAGCCTAGCTAGGATTTTAGGGGCTGGTTATGGTGGCTATGTAGGCAGTCCCGTACAAAAAAAGAGGAAAAGCATTTCCTCTTTTGCATATATACAAATGCAAAATTCAAGACAATGACTATAATTTAAATAAAAATAAAATACAGTACATCTCACCCTAGTGGAAAGGACTATGGCCAGGTGATCAGAGTGCCTGATCAGTCTGCATTCTGGGTGCTGCTCTTGACAGAAAATGTCAAGGCACTTGCTTTCCCTTCGTAAAGCCTAACCTCTAAACCAGGCTTAGCCCAGAGACCCTCAAGACAGAAGGTGACTCCAGACCGTATCCTATTCTTTGTGAAGGAGGAGGCATGGTGACCACCCCAGGACCTTCTTTTGCCACAATTATGGCACATGTGCTCATTGCAAGCAAAAAAAAAAGACGAGTCTTTCCTATGTATATTCTGCATTTTCCAGCAATACCACACAAGCCAATTGCACTACTCTCTCTCTCTTCACTCACACACACCCCCCAAAGGAGGGAGAAGAGACAGACTGAGAATAATGATGGCCTGGTAATTTAGAAATTTAAAGAGGAGGTGGGGAAAGGGGATAGAGAAAAGGTAACAGAGGTGGTTTGCATTTTTTTAAGAGTCCACCTTTTCAAAATGATACAGTAGATACACACAGGTGTCTCTTGGGCAAACAGTACAGCCATCTGGAAAGGAACAGCTTCAGCAGTTACAGCTAAAGGAACAGTTACTGTAAGAGCCTCAATAGGTGAATACTAGAGGTACTTGCTCAACAGCATTGCTTGGCTGGTTCGGTTCCCCGCCGTGAAGTCCTCCTGGGAGAACAGTAGTGTCAGTAGTGTCATCACTGCTTTGTGACACAGTTTATTATTGGGATGGGGAGAGGGTAGGAAGAGTATAAGGTATGGAGGAATACTCAGTGCTTGCTCTAGCGGGAAATATGAAGGCTTTGATCTTAAATGCAATTACTAGGAAATTAACAATACAGCTTCTTTCCATGTGAGTATGCCTAAGATCACACTGCACAATATCGCACTCCCTTCAACATATACTTTAACATATACAAACTGAATTAAAATAGTTCAGTATCAGTGTTTGCAAGATGAGTGTAAAAATGCAGTCATGTTGTAAATAATGTTACTGTAGTACCTCTTTTAAAAGAGGCAATATATTCAGAGTTAACTCTGTCATTTGTTTGCTACCAAAAAGCTAGACTAGTAGGCTCTTGCTTCATCAAGATGAACAGTTTGGACTTTGCAAGCTGAGTCACAAAAAGAATTTAACACTTGATAAGATGGGATAGAAACCAGCAGGAGGCAACTGGTTGCAGCCCTCTAAGGCTGAACTGTGCTAGTCTAGAAAATATTTGTAGAGGTACAAGCAGTAAAAGCACTGGTGTTATGCTGCATTCAGATCCAGTCTTCAGGATTTATACAGGCCTATTTAGTGAGCAATTCTGTGACCCCTGGATGGTACGGGAGGGGGCTGGAGGATACTTTGGGCCTGAAGGGGGACACAGCACTCTAACCCTAGAGCTAACCCAAGTTAACACCCTTGCACCCCTAGAGATAAGATCCATGCGCAATTGCCCTCTCTGAGGTTGGGAAAGTGACCTCAGGGAAACAAAAACAAAAAGGTGTGGAAAGAGGGGAGAAGACTCCAGATGCCTGAATCTGAGCTGTTCTTACACCTCTTCGACCTCCTTGTCTCCCCTGCAGAACTCCAATTACCCAGGCAAGAAAGCCTGTCTAGCGAAAATGCAAAGCAGGAGGCTGGAGAGGTAGCAATCTGCTTCCCGTCCTGCATAGGAAGCTTATAAGCCTCTGAGTTCAGGGAATTATGGGCATCCTGATAGGATCACAGCCTTAACGACCTTTAGGCAATAGTAACTACAAAATGCAGTTATCAATAAAGGGCTATACTTTCACCCATTCAAGTACAAAGACAAATCTGAGAGGCTCTCCTTGCAATTGTGAAATCAAATCACTGAACAGTTATGTTTTGCAATACTATTTGGGAAGCAGTCACTGTATTATGATTAACTTTTATCTGACTTTGTACAGGAACAACTATTGAAGCATTTTCCTACACGGCTCTTGCTTGCTGTTGCAGAAAGGTTCGAAAAAATTGTCTTCAGACAGTTTGACAGTCTCTTTTCAAGGCAAGTTGAGGGAATTTATTTGCATCCTGTAGGCTTCAGACAAACATGCAGTACAGACTTGCCACAGTGCTTGTGATTGCCATGAAGACTTTTCAAAAGCAGTGATATAGTCTGATCGCCAGATAGGAGGACAAATGTGAGAACTACCTCCCTGCTGGCCAGCTTGTAAGGTTCTTGGGGACATCCCCACTTCTGACAGAGAGAGCACACTAGAGGAGGAGGCAATTATAAACTGGATTGCAGACTAAGGCCTCTGTCATGCACACCCGTGGGAGGGCCAGGGCAACCGTGTTCTGGCTCAGTATGAAGTCATTATAAAGAATTTCCCAACGGCGGAAAAAGCATGCCAAATGGAACAGTAGATGTTTCAGAGACACCAATGTCTCACTGTCAGTTGTATGTTAGATAGGCACCGTTCAGAGATGCTCTGAGTATTGGCAGAACCATTGTTCCGAGTGCATCTGGACGAACTGGCTCCTGCTTAAGTCTGTGATCCTGCCATTGCCACCCAAACTGGAGCAAAAGCAGCAACAAAGAGCACAATTAACCAAGATGAGTATAGGAAGGTGCCTTATACTGAGTTGGGTCCTAAATCCATCTAATCCAGTGTGGTGAACACTGACTGGCAGCAACTCCCCACAGGTTCAGGCAGGAGTTTTTCCAGCCCTCCCTGGAGATACCAGAGAGTAAAAAGCTCTGCCATTGACCTACTCCATCCCTCGCCATAGCATATTATCCCAATGCCCTAGAACACGCCAGGACACTGGGCCAGGCAACAATGGAAGCTGAGGGCAGGAAGGCAGGTGAGCCGAGGAGGAAAAAAAGAGCAGAATAAAAAAGCAGTAGGCAAGTCTCTGTTTTAAGGCTTTGGAAAGCTTTGGTGTGCATCTGAGATGCAGCTCTGTAAAATATTAAAGTTAATTTAAGCAGCTCAGAAGTGGACAGAGGGTAGAATAGATCAGCAGGGGCATCTAACTCCTGCTGGCTTAACAATAGGACTCCTTTTCCCCACCCGAAAATTAGAATCCCTGATCTGTATTAACTCAGAGATTTATTTTTCCTTTTATGCAACCCATCCCCCATTCTCTAAAGCTAGTTTCCTTCTTGACTCTGCAAATATGACCTTCAAGCCTGGTCCCTCAGGGGCTTCAAGATTAGAAGCCTTCACACAGTTCGTCAAAGGTGTGCTTGCAAATCTTATACTAACAATCTACTTTTGGAACGTCTTTTCAATAGAAGAGGGCATATCAGTGGCAAGTGTATCTTTAACATGCTTGTTTTCAGGCCACATTCCAAAAAAATCCTGGGGTGCCTCACTAAGATGATCAATAAGGACAGACAAAGTTTCCTGAGAGTTTATTCACCACTCTGGATCTTGCTTTAAAACATGCAGCTGCCGGAACATAGAAGGTTGTGTTCCAAACTGCACCCTTAGTTGGCAAAGTAACTTCAAGGCCCAAAAAGCTTAGACAGCATCTGGAATAGTCTCCCATAAAGCACAGGAATTTCCTGACCTGCCTGTCAATGCAGGAGGGGTTGCTTGAGGGTAGGATGTGACTGCTTTTCGTCCAATGACTGTTAACAAACCACCTTCTCTTAATACGGTATTCTCACCTGTACTTTGCATTATTGCAGCATTAGTCCATACAAGCAACATGGGCATCCACAGAGAGAGGGAGAGGGAGAGGAAGGTGTAGGAAAGCGTTGGGGATCCGAGTTCTAGTTACCCTTAACCATGAAGCTTCCTGGATGATCCTGGCTCAGGCACACTGTCTCAGCCTACCTCACAAGGTTGTTGGGGGCATGCAATGATGAGAAGCAGGAGTCTTCTGTGAGTAGCCTTGGGTTCCTTGCAGGAAAAAAGGCAATTAAATGAAAGCACGCACAACTGCATCTAACCACCAAAAAGCTTCTGCACTTCCATTACCAAACTGACTGAAAGCCCCTTGCAAACTTTAGGATGTTTTAGCAGCGCTACCTTTTAAGGAGCAAACAGTCCCTTTACTGAAGCAAAAGCCATAGAATCCGAAGAAAACCTCTTAGGTGCATCACATCGTGCTTCTTAAAACAGACGCACACGCAATACATCACATGAAATACACGCCCGTTTAAAGCAAAAAACAAAACAAAATAAAACCTCCTGTTCCTTACCTTTAGCCTCAACTTAATTGCTAAACTTCGTGAAAGGCAAACACTTCGGAAACAGGCTTATCCGTACGCTAATATATGGAAACTCTTCCTGCTTTTCGCGCAGCCTGCAGCGCATCCCCGAGGTAGGCGGGGCAAGCGAACCTCACGAGAAGCAAACGCGGCTTTCGAGCGGCATAGGCAGAAGAGACCACGCTTTAAGACGGCTGGATCCCGAGTGCACTTCTTTACTCGGAAGCAAGCCCTACTGACTTCCGTGGGAAGGCTTAGCGTCTAGTAAAGGACCATACTAAGTCGAGGGATACAGAAGGAGCACTGGAATTCATCTCTCCATGCGTTTTTATCGATCCGGCTGGAGTAAAGACGCAGTGATCTCCGTAGGATTTCCCTCCCAGCAAACACGCACAGGATCGGGTTTCAGGGCAGGACTTATATGCACATTTTGTTGGAAATAAGCCCCAGGGAGCATGCGTGCTTACGCTGAGTAGAACTTTTAGACCGCATGTTCTCTCCCCAAAGTACCACCTTGTTATAAAATTTGTCCTGCTACCTTTACCGAGCTAATAAATGAGCTCTCCAAAAAGCTGTGCCTGGTGCCTGCATTGTTTTGGCGACAGATGAAAACCTCCGCCCCCCAGCACTGTAACTGTTTGATGCTTTAAGGTTAATAATATTGCATTTAATATTTTAAATTTTGCATTTTATCCTGTACCACTGCTATGCCTCTATGCTGAATCAGTTGCAAACGCTGTGGTTTTGTTGGTTTTTATGTTAATATTTTTTGTTTGAGTGTTTTTAACTTGTTCACTGCCCCAGCAAGCCTCAGTTAGGGAATGGTGTAAAAATGAAATAACTAAATAAACTGTGATAATCTCATGGACACTGGAATGTACATTTTCTTAAGACCAATTTATTTACTTGTCCCCACTCCAAAAAAATCCCAAGATTCTTCAAAACAGAATTTAACCATTTAAAAGTTTGATCAATGTATACTCATTCATTAAATACAGAATCTCTCTTCCATCCTTGTTAAGCATTTACAGAGCAAGAGTTAGGCCAATCAAGTTGCTAGACTTTATCTAGCTTTAGTCTATCCTTTCACACTATCATCTGTATTCAACAAAACAGCTGCATGATAAGTAATACTGTTGCTCAGTCCTATATTTTTTTATTTTTTTATTTAAAAGGTTTCTAGACCGTCCCATTACCGAAGTTTTGGGATGTTTTAACAATACAAATTTTAAAAAAAAACACAGTGTCCTAAAATTCAACTAATAATAAAACCCCAATTAAAACAGCCAGGTCTTAAAACGTAGGGAAAATAAAAAGGTTTTGGCCTGACACCAAAAAGAATAAAGTGACGGCTCCAGGAGAACCTTTCTGGGGAGCGAATTCCACAATTGGGGCACCTCCGCAGAGAAGGTCCTTCTATATAAGTCTAACTCCTCCTATCGCATGTGTCGCTGGAACTACCTTGCATGGGAATTAAACCACCTGGCATAGGTTTGATGTGGGATTGCATGAAAAGAGTAGACAGCCACACATACGGTTGTCTGCATGAATTCCCCAAAAATAGTTGAGGTTGCAATCTAATCAACTAAAAGGGAAAGAGAAATGATGGAGTGGTTAGTAGCACTGTGGAATGCGGTGTTACTGGGGGCACTCTGTGGATAGCATACCAGTCAGTCTGGCCCTGAGAGAATCAAAGTTCAGTGATTGCTAAAATGCCATTGTTACGGAGTGGGTGGTGTTAAAGCTGGTTCTGCTCTTGCCTTGCACATCCTCACACTTCTGTGAGACAGATCAGAAACACAGTATATGCACTCACGGCTGGCACTGGACTGCTTGAAGCATAGGATCCTGGCAGGCTTGCTTTGAACTAAGTTGTGCCATCTCGTTGGGACCATACGTTTTGGGTTGCCCGGATGTCAAACAAAGGATTAATTGGGATTTATACCTCCAACATATTCTGAATGCTCAGGGAAAGTAACAAAAGCACTGAAAAACACCCACACACATATTACGTTTTAAGCAAATACAAACCAGCTCTAGCTTAAAAAAGAATGCATTTAAAACTGATTCTCACTTCTCCAAGCGGTGAGAAATTCCTGGTGGTGCAACACAGAGCAAAGATAGAAAACCTCTCTATCCCCAACAACCACATGGGAGGCCATAAAAAGGAACTTAAGCAACATTCGTTTTTGCACTGGGTCACCACAGGGCTATTGCTGGAAAAGGCTTCCTTGTGGCCAGTGAGGCACTTTTTGGACCCAAAGTACAAAGTATCCTTCCTCAAAATATTTCTCCCCCAGATGCTTTGGCCTTCAAGTGGTGAAGAACGCTGGTTGTTGTAATCCAAAACAACTGGGGGAACTCTGTTGGGAAAGGCTTATAAGACATGTGTTATATTTCTTGTTATATTGCCGGGAGTCTCCGTATCTTTGTTCTATATTGTTGGTAGCCTTTGGCAGAGGTGTGAAAACTCACAAAGTAAGAAGGCTGCCCATACAATACGTTGATTTATTGTTACGGCCAAGGCTGGAGTAGAACATTTTACTGTACATCTCTAATAGTCACTACAAGCAACATAACTCAATAGAGTGTGCATAGGCAGAATAGAAACATCAATCAAGTTGACATATCCCCAGCACTGTCAGCTGCAACCACATTCAGAGTGACTGCACAGATAAGTTGTGCAGCCCTAGCAAACAAGGCTTTTTTGCGTGCAGTTTAAGGGTTGCAATTCTGACAGCAACCAGCAAATTTTCACATAGATACTTTTACCCTGTAAAAATGCCAAATTCTATCCTATCTATCCCAAGAATCTTCCGCTGGAATTTTGAAATATAGATGGCAGTGCAGTAAATAATACAAGGGGGTGAATGAATGAAGGATTAAGCGCAGGATGCTATCAATGCGGAAAGGTTGGGCGCTTTAAACGAGAGTGCCCTGAGCTGAGCGAGAGGAGAGGTTGATTTCTCTCTTGAATATGGACAAAGATTAGGAAGGTCAGGGGTCTCCTCATAGGAGGACCCACTGGGAACCTTTGATAAATTTGAAACTGAGACCATTTGGGAAAGACATGGTATTTATGGTAGGCTCTGGAGCTACCTGCTCCACAAGGAATATGATTCCAGATGGAATGAAATTGGGAAAGGGGGAATTGATGGCTCAAGGAGTGGCAGGTAATCTGGTAAAAGCGAAAATATTTGAACCTGCTCAGGTAAAATGTGGAAAGGTTGCTGCACATCTCCTCTTGAAGGGCTCAGGTGCCCTATGGAGAAGAGAGCTAAAGGAAAGTTTATGAGGCTATAGTGAATAGGAGCCGTTTTTATTTGCTACTGCAGTATTTACTGAGGAAGGGGAGTCAAAGAGAGGGCTGGTGGTAAAGGGTTGGAGGAAACAGCCTGTGCAGCCACCACCCTATTGGTGGAAGAAGCCAGGAAGTTAGCCATTGGGGAAGTTCTGGTGGTAACAGTGGCACCCCCAGTGCAAGCTCTGTTAGCCACCAGGGCTGGAAGGTGGCTAACTGACTCCTGACTTATTAAGTATAAGGCTGTATTGATGAATCAACTAGATTTGATTTTAACTACTGGAGGAAGTGTGAATCCTGTAGATATCTTGATAGGAGGCAGTTGCAACTTGGAGTAAGAGCATGATTGTGTGGAATTAGCGGATCTAGACACTAAAGTAAGGGGAAAGGCATCATGGATACAAAGGGAACCAGGTGAGGGATAGTGGGAGACTGTCCTCCTCCTGGTCAGCCCAAATTTGTGAGTTATGGGCTCTGAAGTGAGCCCTGAAATTGTGGGAAGGAACTGGGAACTGAGAAGAATCTAGACTGGAAGATGGGTAATGTCTGATGGCTAAGAATGGCCATCTAAGGGACTAGCTAGGCAAGTAATCCAGAGACTCCACGAAAGTAGCCTTTGGGGAGCTAAGGCTCTTGTAGATTAATTTCTAAAAACTGATGTGGCATTGGGATGTATTTGGGCTAGCACATGCCTTTGGGAAAATTTGACAGGAAAGGAGTTTGATCATGAGTAGAGAAAAAGTTTTGGTGCATGAGAATTTGGTGCAAGTACTGTAAAAATTGACTCTGCCTAAACAATTGGCAATTATTCATGTAAAGGGAGATCATTCTGGGTTTGGTGATCAATACTGAACTTGATCCCCTTGGTTGAAGTTCCTTTTTATAAGCCTTAAGTATGATGAGGCTGAAGTAGCAAGGATGAAGGAATTGGGATGAGTCAGACCCTAAAGCAGCAATTAAAGAAACTAATAATGGACACTAAACTGTCTTGGACAAAGTGTTTACCTATAGCCCTGCTCGGGATACGAACTGCTCCAAGGAAAGATACAGGGATATCATCCTATGAAATGCTGTTTGAATTGCCTTACTTGGGGTAGGTGGGGGAGTTACCAAGTTTCGAGTCAAAAGATAAATTTCTGCAGAACTATATACTGGGGATATCTTCTTTATCTGCCCTCAGGGAGAAGGGACTACTGGCATACACAGCTCCCCTGAACTTCACAGTACAACTGTTCAAAACTGGAGACTGGGTTCTGGTAAAATCCTGGAAGGACTCCAAGCTGCAACCTGAATGGGAAGGCCCACTACTGGTGTTACTGATGACCGAAATGGCTGTCTGGACAAAAGAAAAGGGGTGGACCCATTACACAAGGGTGAAGGGACCAGTGCCACCGCCAAAGGAGTGGACAGTGGATCCTGGTGATGGGTCCTTGAAGCTTAAGCTCCAAAAGACCGAGCACAGGAGGGTGGGTTAGGCGACACTGCCTGGCTCTCGGATGTGCTGGTTTTGCAAGTGCTCTTGCTGATGTGAGAGCTGTTGTTGCGCCCACTGCCCTGATTGTCTTCCTCTACACAATTTCTGTACAAAAAAGGTGTGATCCTCATGGTGGGGAGAGTTGTTTGGTGGAGGCTTATTGAAATAGAGAGGAGTACTATTGATGGCAGTTGTGGGGCTACTACTGCTGCCTTGTTTCATACCCCTGATAACACCAATGATTCAACGAACTGTGGAATCTATCCAGGTGACCCCAGTACCAAAACAAACCAGTGTGAGGAAAGGATAATGACTTTAAAGGTAGTAAAAGGTCGAAAATCGTCCCCAGAAC